CTGTGAATCAGCATTTTTAATGCACGCACGAGGACCAATCAGGATCTGCTTTCTTTGTCATTTGCCGGACTGCTCCACTGACAGCGGGAAAGACCAGAAAGAAACCTAAAAATCATACAAAATCAGAGTCGGTTAAATAACGCCACAGCACACAAATTGAGATATGATGATTTAGAAGCATTTTTTGACATTGAGATTAAATGTTTAATTTTACACTGTTGAAATAGAAACAAAATATGAATTATAATTTTATGTATATATATATATATATATATATATATATATATATATATATATATATATATATATATATATATATATATATATATATATATATTGCATGTAAAATATTATTATTATTTGTGTATATATAGTCAGTGAAACACTTTTCAGTATTTATAAAACTCATTTGCTCATTGTCGGTTTTCTTTTAAAGTCTTTCAGGGCAAATAATTTAATTCATGGGGCATATATTTCAACAAATATAGCATACAATTCAATAAATATAATTTAATACTTCATATAATGCATTACGTTTAACAATTATGACCATATTAAATACATAAAATTAATTTCTGTACTGGATAAAATATTTACTACAGCCGTGTATGTTAAGTATAAACAAGTAAAAATATTCCTCCTAAAAAATGAAATGTTATAAAAAGCACAAATGTAATTTTCTCAAGCATCAACATATTGTTACAGCACCAATTTTTTATTTATATTTTGGTTGTATTTTTTGAAAAGTAATGCTTTAACGAACAATCTGCCAGAAAGAACCTTATAATTCCAAGTGGAAAATTACTTTTCAGAATGAGAAGGTTCGATCTGCATTAATCATGTTTTTTTACTCCAATTTGGAAATGTCAGAGAACTTTGATAATTTACATTTAGAGAACCCTTAGGGTCTCTGTCATGTTAATGTATGAAAGAGAACTTTTACACATATTGTTGACTATATGGATTGCAAAAACTTTGAAGCTCAATAGCTCAAAATCATTCAGAACGCAGATAACCTTATAATTCTAAGGTGACGATTTGGTAACAAGTGGTGAGTGCATGGTGAGCGTAAACTACTTAATCAATTGTAATCTATGAAGGCAATAGTAATGTTCCCTTTTCACATATCTGCTCTTCCTATAAATGCACGTCGTCTTGGTTGGGTAAACTTCCATGGAGGTGAACTGAAACTACCAAAAAAATATATATTTTTAGCGTTCCCATTGCTAAAATTGCACAAGAAAAAATCATGGTACTAGTACATATTTGACTTGAAATATGTGGAATTATATTGAGAGATTGATTTCTTTGCTTAAAAGAGAGAAATATTTGCACTCACTCCATCTTTAGTACACTGTTAAAAACGCTGGGATCCACACAATCGATTTGTGTTGGGACAACAGGAAGGAATTAAGCTAACTTATTAGTTTTTTACTAATTAAATTGGATTGAACATAAAACAGGACTGCATAGTCACCTCAGAGCAAGAAGGTTGCTGATCTGTGTGGAGTTTGCATGATCTCCCTGCATGTTCCTCCGGGTGCTCCTGTTTCCCCCTCAAGTCCAAAGACGTGTGATATAGGTGAATTGGGGAAGCTCAATTGGCCGTAGTGTAGGTGTGTGAATGAGTGTGTATGGGTGTTTTTCAGTGATGGGTTGCAGCTGGAAGGGTATCCGCTGCTTAAAGTATATGCTGTATAAGTTGGCGGCTACCTGATTAATAAAGGGACTAAGCCGAAAAGAAAATGAATGATTGAATGAACATAAAACAATCAAGTTGACCCAAAAGATTTGTTGTTTCAGCTCATTTTAAATGAGGAGTTTGAACAAACGGCAAACATAGTTTTTTGAGTGTATCGCTAGATTTTTTTTGTAATTTATTGCCAATTTTAGTGTTTAGTTTTTATAACATTAGAAAAAAAACTAGGCATGGAAAGTCAAGGTTTTAAAACTGCAAAAAATTTCTATTATACTGTTCCTAAGGTATGTGTAAGTGTTTTTTTTTGTTGTTTTTTTTACAATTATTTTATCTAGTTTTTTAGGGCAACAGTATCACCAGCAGAAAAAGACCCTCCACATCAAAAGCTACTGGTCAGCACATGATTCAGCAAACATTTGAGAAACAAATCGCTTATGAACCAACATCCTATGCTGCTATGTGCATCCTATGTGCTATGCACCTGAACAGTGCAGTGGCCTACTTACTTTATATTTAAAGAAAAGAAAGATATCCAAAGATGTCTTTTAAAGTAAAGACATCTGTTTTGCAAACTAATTAAGATAGCAGCTCAATGATTTATTTTAATTATTTAACTGTTAATTGTTCCAAAATATTTTAATATCTTGTGTTTAATAGGAAAATAAGTTGTTGTTGTTTTTAACCCAGAAGAGCATATTTGAGAGCAGTAATCATACTGTGAAACCGTGATATTTTTATCCACGGTTTTCATACTGTTAGAATCTTAGGGTGCTTTCACACCTGTGAATCGATTCAGTTGTTTTGAAACAGAGATTACAATTGTTACATTGTTGCTCTTTGCTCTTGGAGCTGTTCGCTTTCACACGGCAAAGTTTCTAATCGGACCAAAAGAGCTAAAACAAGTCACGTGCGAGTAAACTCTCCTCACATTGGTCAGAGTGTCAGGGTTTATTTTGCAGAGTCCCGCTAAGCTGTCAGGAGAGGTGGTGGTTTGGTGGTGATTGACAGGGTGCACGCGCGATGTGTCTGAGGAGAGATGCGGTGGGGAGGGGTGAGGGTGCGCGACGATGCCTATTTGAGGACCGGGAGGGAGACGTGAGATTACCGGAAGATCATCACTCGTTTGCGGGCATCTAGAGACTCGCGAAACTTTTCGCCCTACTCACAATTCTCTCTTCATATAGCCGTATGCCTATTACATATCCATAAAACACTGTGATATAACCGCGATCGGATCGGATCGCTTTCTCACTGCAATCGAACCGCTCCAGGGTTCGTTTCAATCGAGCCGAGACCACCCCACTCAAGCGATCTCGGAGCGATTACTTTGTCGCGGAACAGAGCGCGATTGCCCGGTTCACATATGCCAAACGAACCGCGCTAACTGGGCAAACGAGATACGTTCCGAAACAAAAGTGTAGGTGTGAAAGCACCCTTATACTGGCCCATGTCTAGAAAAAAAAAAAAAAACGTTTTAAAATAGTTGTAGAAAGGTATCATCTTAGTTTGTGAAATGGGTACATTTAATAATAGGTTGAATAGTTACTAGAATCACTACATTACACAATTTCTTTTATTTCCAGAGTTTTACAAAAAAGGAGCACCTTACAATGCTCTTGTAGGCAAAGACTCAACCAGAGCTGTGGCCAAAATGTCCCTTGACCCAGCCGATCTCACACACGACACTGTAAGTTGAGAGTTTTATTACAACTTTGCCACAGGAAAAACAAAAAAAAAAGTTTCAGCTTACACTGAACACTGGTTTTCACCAGACTTTTTCGGCACTAACATGTTGCTGCTTTCGGTTCCTATTTTGTTAGACGGGCCTCACCGAGAGTCAACTACAATCCCTTGAGAAGATTTTCACAGGCACATACAAGACAAAATACCCTGTTGTTGGATACACCAGCAGGCGTCTTCTCAATGAGGACGGGAGCCCCAATAAAGACTTCAAACCCGAAGACCAACCTCAGTTCTCCATTAAAGATGAGTTTTGATGCCTTCAAAAGTAGTTGTCCTACATTAAAATGAATTGTAATCCAAATCCGAATCAAGATGTTGTTTGTGACCTCTGACTGCAGTGCACTAGGTGGGCAAGTGTAAGTTTGAGGTTGTCTGGTGGTCTTTTCAGCCCACAGCCTAGAAAACACTATGATGCATACTGTCCTACGTGGGTTTTTCCCTGGTGGGCTGCTTTGAAGGTCATTCAAATTGAGCCACCTACAGGTGTGACTTAAAAAAACTGGTGTGGTTGATTGGCATTTTTATATGTGTTAAGTACGTTAAGGATTTAAAATGTTTATGCGGTGTAAACAAGTCTTAAAAAGTGTAAACTGGCAATACATCACTTGGTTTCTTTCACTGTACACGAGGGGAAAGTTTGGTGATTCACACTTCATTTAGAAATTGAAATTGCTCAGTGGTGAGGGGTTTCATGCTATGAATTAAAAAGTTAAGCATTGATTTTATCATTCTGCGACAACTTTTTTACTCAAGCACTCTGTCAGTCATAATTAAACTGTTTGTTTTTATCTTCACGAAGTACCCTTGATGACTTGAAATGTTTCACACTAATAAAGAGAGAGTTGTTTGTTACTAAGACTTGTTGTTCTGCAATGTTAGGTGTCATGTGGGCTACTTTTGGAATGGAATGGAATTAATAAAATATTTAGAAACACACAGACAGGTGTCATCTGGTTTCAAAAGTGTGTGTGTGTGTGTGTGTGTGCGTGTGCGTGTGCGTGTGTGTGTGTGTGTGTGTAATACAATTGGAACACAGCTGTTCATCAAGTAGACTAGACCAAAAAGACGAGGGTATGTGAGAAACTAAATGTGAGTTAAAGATGAATTGCACAAAACTTTAAAGTTGCAAATTTAAGTACAAACATTCACATTTATACAGTATATTTATATTTATACAGCCTAGGCTGGTTGGCTGGTTTTAGCTGGTCGGCCAGGCTGGTTTTAGAGGGGTTTTGGCCATTTCCAGGCTGGAAAATGACAAGCTAAATCCATCTAAAACCAGCTTCAACAGCCTGGTTTAAGCTGGACACAGCTGGTTTTAGCTGGGCTCCCAACCTGGCTAGGCTGGTCAAGCTGGTTTTAGCTGGTCATCTCCCAGCCTGACCAGCTAAGAACAGGCTGAAAATGGCTGGAAATCAGCCTGAAAATGACCAAAACCCCTCTAAAACCAGCCTGGTTGATCCGCTAAAACCAGCCAACCAGCCCAGGCTGGTTTAAGCTGGATTTTTCAGCAGGGATTTGAAAAACAGATACTTTGTTTAAAATGTAGCCTAAAAAGCACTAGTCTAAGTACTTGGCCATGATATTTCTTCATTTATTGTTACAAAATTATAATGGTCATATAATTATGACATGTAAGACATAATAAAATAAAATTACTAATAAAATCAGACCTCCTGAGAGGTATTCAGTGGACCAAAAGGTAGTGATACATCCTCAAACATATACGATTTATACAGTTAGAATCTCCCCCACATGTTAAACTTTTCCAAAACATCAAAATGCTCCTGATGAGAAGACGTGACCTGATTTCCATGGACTGTAAGCAGTAGGTGGGTACGCTAAAAGACATTTGGTCAAACGCAGTGCTTTTAATTTCATGATGAATTTACCTGCTATGCGCCTTTAGCAAAAACATGGGGGCTGTACAGTTTCATGAGCTACGGTGAGTCAGTTAACAGACACTTGTCAGATTCTGAGTCTCAAAATGATGGTTTTTGTTTGTTTAAAAAAAGTCCCAGGGTATCATTAGCATGTACACACAGCAAAATAATGAATCATTATAAAAGTGCCTTTACTGTAAACACTGCAGCCAAGCTTAATTATAATTTACCAGAAAACCTTTAGAAAATGGGATTGAGTTAAAGAATGACAAAGCATCCACTAACTGTCATGAAATATAATCGTTACGCTAAGGGGTAAAGACAGTTAGCTTTATCTCTTTGTTATGTTCAAATGTTAATATGTAATTTGACATATATACATTCTCTTGTTTATGTATTCTTTGACAAACAAAAGCTTTAAATAAATATTAAATTGAAAAAAAAAAACGATAGTTTGTAACAAATGTATAACATAAACGTGCTTTGGGCTAAGTACTGAGCCATGTGGTATGCCACACATAAACATATTTAAACAAACACTAAACTTATATTCGATATTATATATGGCTAATTGATTATAACTTCATCTCTTGTTTGTTGTTTTCGAAAGTGTAACACAATATCCATGTTGCTGACCCTGTTGGCCGTGTAATTTAATAGGTACTTTCTCTTGCTGCCATATTCTCTATCATCCACACGTTACCTGATACATTCGTGCTCACACGCGTGACGTATGAAACACTTTCCACCCTCGAGCCACAACAACGTAGCTAACTAGGTGTTGATGGTGGGAGCCCGTGATGTAGCTTCCTGTCTCCATTGCATATCAGAATTTCCCCTTTTGCCCGCCCACTTTCATTTTGTGTGATGCAGTGGGCTGTTTCACTTCAGTCTGTCTCAGTCTCTTGATGCTGTATGTTCGGCTCCTGAGTCAATGTAGCTTGTTGATTTTTCCAGCCACCCACAGCAGTGAATATTTTACAGTGGTGAGTAACATTTATTAATACATATTTTTGTACTGAAGTATTGTGTTATTGTTTTCTTTCTGTTTTGGAGCTGTTATTTTATGTAAATGCATTATTTGTTTTAGTTTACAATCTACATGTGCTAGAAAACATTTTAAAATGGTGTATTATTTTGTAATTGTATTATACTGTATGCGTTTGAGCTGTTAGCTGAGTAACATACATAATTATACAGACTTTTACACAATGCAGTTGTTAATATCACAGCGTAATATCTTGTTAATAATTTTATTTGTTATAAACCTTAACTGTCTTCATTACAGTGTGCCATGTATATATTTACAATGTTTTTTAAGTTGCTGGCTAATAATCTTGCACATAAGTATTTATGTATTCTTTAGAAAGAGTCATTCATAATAATACTTTGACAAATGATATGTTTTTTATGTTATAAGTGTGTTATTATATAAATATTTCTATGTTTTGGAGTTGTAAACTAAATAAGTTATACACAATTTTGCAAGGATTCTGTTTTAATTAATATTATGCTAAAACTTTTGTTTAAATCTTTGCACATTTTAATCATTGTACTGTTATTGCATTTTTTTTTCGCATCTTGTGGAGCTTTTATGGATTTAAATTAAAAAGAAATTGTGCACTTTTTTCCTACAATTTATAAGTAATATTACCATTTAATATTTTGCTAATAATTAATAATGTGTGTGTTTTTTTTTAGACTATTTTACAACTTGATATTTTGCTATATTTCTGCTATTGTCACAAGATTAAATTATATTTATTAATTAATTTTTGGATCATGCATTTTTGGCATTATTTAGAAAGATTTAGTTTACTGCCTGATGAGAATCCATGTTTTATTACACATGCTGTATTCAATTGCTCAAGTAAATGCAGATGCAACTGCTAATTATCTTCTCTCACTAACCAGGTAATCTCACCAAGAAGACTGAATTTATTGTTGATCCCAAAGCAGCCAACCTATGAAGGTGCTGAGTGGACTCGGCGTGGTAAGTTTCCACCTTCACCCATCAGTTTCACACACACCTTTTGTCTCTTAATGTCATCATGGAAACTGATGAGTATGTATTTGAATTGACTTACTTCCCTAGATCTCATTGACAGGATAAACAATTCTTTTGTTCTTTCTGTTTCAGCCCAAATCGTTAACCCAAAATAGCATGGACCCAATCAGCATGCCAGCCACAACCGTAAGTATATAAATCCTTAGATCTTACGCATACAGCGCTTCTTATCACCTTCTGATTGGTAGATTAAAGCAATTATGGACTCTTAAGGCTGAGAGCAAAGCCTAAAGGGGATGCTTCAAAGGCTTGTTAAATGTCACTCTTATTTTGACCAGCTTATGCTTTTAATGGAATGTTTACAAACTTCCGTTAAGCTAAAATCTAAAATCCCCCCAGTTACCATGTTCAGTTCTGCTTTAAATAGATTTTTCTCTGTAGTGGGTTACTTCATCTAAAAGACTGCATTCAATTTATTTTAGGTTCCTCTGAATACGGGACTCTCCCTTTGTCAGCAAACCAATGGCAATCTTGCCAGCATCTCCCACACTGGTAAGCTAACATTCTTACTTCTGTTCTCTTAAATGTCACTGCTATTTAATATGTTGCAATGAACTTATAAGAAATGTCAGACAGATTAGAATACAATGATTCTTACCACGTCTTTACTCTTATTCTAAAGGGAACATGAATATTAACCGAAGGCGCTGGAGGAGCATCTTTCGACGTGTTCAGAAAAAGAACAAGGATTTATATCATGCAAACAGTGAACATACCAAGAACACACTTTTTGGACGAGCCTTGTCTGAAATCTGTCAGAAAGATGGGTCTCCTCCTGAACCAATTATGGTAAGAATTGTCGAATGTTTCACTCTGGAATACATTTGACTAATAAAATTGGCAAAACAAATACTATTACCAGCAATTCTGACTATAAAACGTAACTATTTGCATAATTTTTGCAAATTCATATAATTTCATTTGATTTCAGTCATACAAAAGCTTAAAAAGGAGGCAATTCCCCTAACTTTACCTCTATACCAAACTTTCATTGGGGATGAGCATTCATACAAATTAGCTGCTTAATCAAAAAGTTAAAAATTGCCATGAAATTGTGTTGAAAAAAGTGTCTATGTAGTTCACTGAAAATGATCAAATGATGTGTAATAATCTCCCATATACTCTGGTCAACATTACACTCTTAGAAAATGAAGGTTTGAATGAGGGTCTGTGTAGCAACACAATATAAATTTGGCCCCAAAGAACCTTCAAATTACTTCAAATAACTTTTTTATTATTGTGTAGAACATTTTTATCTAATCTGAAGTAACTTTTCTGACCTATTTTCTCCTTTTGAGGGGCAAAAAGTGTTCCAATGCCAACTATTTTTAAGAGTGTGCGTGGTTTTCATCTTTCTAAAGTCTCAATTTGCCTCAATGTATTTTTCAGGATATCCTAATTCTGCTGCAGAGAAAGGGTTTGCACACTGAGGGGGTGTTCAGGAGGGCCGGGAACACCAAAGCTGTGAAGGAGATCAAGGCGCAACTCAACGATGGGATAGAAGTGGATCTGAAGGAGCATCCGGTGATTTGGCTTGCTGATCTCATCAAGGTATGCCATAATCTGATCTGTGCAATATGAATTGATTACAAGAACAATGTCCAAAAGTCTAAAATATACATTCTTCTGATTTGCAGGATTTTCTCAGACATCTGCCTGGCGGTTTGTTAATGTCGGAGAAGTACAAAGACTGGATGGATGCAATGGAAAAGGAGGATGAGGATCAGAAATGCGCTGAAATTAAAATGTAAGTTACCTAATGACACAGTTGGATTAAAAGTGATCAGTGTAAATGAACTGTAATTGATACCAGTTTTTCTTTACCTTCGTCTTTAGGCTGATCAACACACTGCCTGTGCCAAACATTCAGCTCTTGAAGCACCTGATTGTCCTACTGTTCTTAATAAGTGAGAAGGCAGATACAAACAAGATGGTTTCCACCAATCTAGCCACGTGTGTTTCCCCAAACCTGCTCCAAACAGACAGCAACATAGAGAAGATGGAAGAGGTGAGTGTACAGTGACTTCTGAAAACAGTGGCCTTATCGATTTCTCGATTTCTCACATGATGTGGCCAGAAGCCAGAAAACAGTAGAACTGAAACTTCACAAAAGAAGAAAAGACCAGACTAGTTTTACATCCAGACTTTGACCTGCTTTCATGAGCTCTTCTAAATCACTTGTTTGGTTTTTCCAGGTGACGAAACTGACGGCTTTCCTTATTGACAACTGCAGTCGGATTTTTGGTGATGATGCGCTGACGCTCTATGAAGATTCTGATGAAGATGAACTCAGCGATAACCAAGGTAGCTTTTTAATTCTTTAGGTGCTCCTTATTTAAAAAACATGTTTTTGTACTAATTAAATCATATGAATTAATACGAATTAGTCACTTTTCTTACAATACGTAAATTAGTTGTTTCCTTTTGAGATCATGCTGTATACCTATACCAGGGGTGCCCAAAATTTTTCTCATGAAGGGCCAAAAATCAAACTTCATTAAGGGCTGAAGACCAAACTGTTCAAGTTCAGTTTATTTTATAGGACGTTTCCAACTGCCACAAGGCAGCACAAAGGACTATAGAGAGAAAACAAACAATCAGTATGGGCATTGTAAACAAAACAGTAACACATTTAATGTAATACACACAAACTGCATTACATTAAAGTTTCAGTGAGTAAGTTCCTAATATTTAAAAATAACTACAAAAATTGCTTTAAATGATCAAAGATATTTGCCCCAACCCCCTCCCCATCATTCTCCCTCTCTTCTCAAATGGGATGGTGGGCCAAATCAAATGTTAGCATGGGCCAACTTTGGCACACGGACCCTAGTTTGGGCATCTCTGACCTATACCCAAGTATACCTACAGTTCACTCTGAAATTAATTTAATGGAGATTAAATATCAAGTTTGGCCCAAAATAATAAAAAGACAACATGAAAAATTTAAGAGCTAGTATGAGCAGATTTGATTGATTTCAAAAGACGTCTTGGAAAATATGAGTGTTAAACATTGATAAATAATGTTTTCTCATGAGAAGTGTCTAAGACTTAGGTTTCACTTTAACAATCTCATCTACAATCTTTATGTGGGTTTGCAAAGAGTTTACAATTTTGACTGAAATTTTCCAACCAATAGTTTTAAAAGTATATAGTCATTTGTGCTATTGTTATTGTTATTATAGTCAACTGTGTATTGCACTACACCAATTCAATGTATTAAATCCAATTGGCTGTCCAATTTACACCCTTAAAACCTTCCAATACGCAGGCCTTCATTTTTACATATATTTTCAGACAATGCGCAAAGCAAATGTATTTACGTGATATGACCGAACAGCACTTAACATTAGTTCTGATTTCTCCATCAGACTCTTTTTCCTCGCACCATCACGACTCTGCGTACGACAGTAATGACCCCGATGCAGACACCTACAAGGGCAGTTGTTCAGATATGGACTCTATCAAATCTGGCGTTGAAGAAAAAGCCCAGGAACCTGAAGAACCCTGGACAACCCAACTCCTGATCCGCAGACGTTCAGAACCAACGTTCAACTTCACCCAGACGGTTCAGCAGCATCTCTCCAGCAGCCAGACGGAAGTGGACTTTCATGAAAAGCAGTTAAAAAAGCAGATCTCCGATGACTGTATTGTGTTCAGGGCGGGGAACAGCTTTGGGAAAAGATGTGGTCTGGCACGCTCAAGCGCTTCCAGGACCACCTCCAGAGGCTGCTCGTATTGTTCCTCGAGTTCACTGGAGAGCTGTTTCTCCAGCGCCTCAGAGAGCTCCATCCACAACAGTCCTTCTCCCCTGCCTTCGTCCAAAAAAAACATCCAACGCAAACATTCCTTCCCTACTCCGAACCGCTCAGAAACCCCCAGAAAACGCTCGCAGTCAATGAAGAGTGCACACCTCAGGAGCAGGACTGTTTTCGGGCGAAGCGGCTCCACCAAACGGGCCATCGAAAGAACCTTAAGAGAAAGTGAGACTCTCCCCGAGGTGCTGACTCCTCAACCGGAGCCCAGACGCTTGTCCAGCGATGAGGTTTTCCAGCAGGTGGACAGCAGGATACCAAGCAGCCCTCCGAGTTATGAGCAAGCCGTTCAGAACAATTCCCCTGCAGCTCTTTCCTGTTGCAGATCGCTGACCGTTCAGGATGCCAGATGTTTGTCAAAGCAAACGTGCAGCGGCTCCAGATCTTCAAGTGAGGAGACTTTGGATTTCTCTTCTGGACTTGCTGATATCCACAACAGAGACAATGCTGAGGCATGCTGTGATGGTATGAGTGGATCCTCCTCATGTTTGAGACAGAGGTCCTCATCTGAATCTATGTATGAAGAACACATCAGAGAGTCATACGTCTGATTCTGACTTGTTTTTATTTTCTACTTTTTGAATACGACCTCATAATGAGGGATTGGCATTTCAGTTGTTTTGAATGTAACTCAGGGATAATGTGCTCAATGTGTTGCGTCTTTACTTTCATTACACTGCTTTGTTTTTTTTGGTGATTTTTTTTGTACCCACCGTGCAACAAAATTGTGACTGAAAAGCACTTTGAGGAAATTTCACTACACAGGTTCACAGTTTTTGAGTTTTCAAAAATAAAGTGGATGCTTAGAAATATATGTAAACCATATATGCCTTCTAATGAAATAAAAATATGTTTTGCTATGCACATCATGCTCTTTGAGTCTTTCTTTCTTTCTTTCTTTCTTTCCAAACAACGTAATAATAATATGATGGATTTACAATTTCATGCTGGTGTCTATAACTGAAAAGTATATAAAAGAAAAACACAAAACTATAAAGAAATAATAAGAAAAACATTAAATTCTTTTTCATCAGTTTATTGCATAAGATGAATTATCATGTTAAAATGTTTAAAAAATCTTTTTATTACAAAGTAATAATACGTATATAAATATACATATATGCAGTTGCAATCAGAATTATTAGCCACCTGTTTATTTTTCCTCAATTTCTGTTTAACGGAGAGAAGATTTCTTCAACACATTTCTAAACAATAGTTTTAATAACTCATTTCTAATAACTGATTTATTTTATCTTTGCCATGATGACATTAAATAATATTTGACTAGATATTTTTCAAGACACTTCTATACAGCTTAAAGTGACATTTAAAGGCTTAACTAGGTTAATTGGGTTAACTAGGCAGGATAGAGTAATTAGGCAAGTTATTGTATAATAATGGTTATATAAAGTCAGAATTATTAGCCCTCCTTTAATTTTTTTTCTTTTTTCAAATATTTTTCAATTTCTTTTTAACAGAGCAAGGACATTTTCACAGTATGTCTGATAATATTTTTTTCTTCTGGAGAAAGTCTTAATTTTTTTTTATTTAGGCTAGAATAAAAGCGTTTTTAACTTTTTTGAACACCATTTAAATGACAAAATTATTAGCCTCTTTAAGCTATATTTTTTTTAACAGTCTACAGAACAAACAGTCGTTATACAATATCTTGCCTAATTACCCTAACCAGCCTAGTTAACCTAAGTAACCTAGTTAAGCCTTTAAATTTTACTTTAAGCTGTATAGAAGTGTCTTGAAAAATATCTAGTAAAATATTATTTACTGTCATCATGGCAAAGATAAAATAAATCAGTTATTAGAGATGAGTTATTAAAACTATTATCTGTATACAGTCGAAGTCAGAATTTTTAGCCCCCTGAATTATTAGCCCTCTTGTTTATTTTTCCCCAATTTATGTATATATATATCAGACTGTTTCAAACCAATAAAACTCCTGAGTTTGTGTATTTTTTTAACAAACTGAATCATAAGAACGATTTTGACATTGTAAGGTTTGCAACATGATATGATCTCTCAAACATGTAGACGACCTTTTCTTCCCATACTGTCACTGCTAATAGGTCGTGACACGCATTGAGAACTAATAGCCCTACATTAGATTACTAAATGTCAAACCAAGTACCAAGCACCAACAAATAATGTTGGAAATTTCCCCAGAAAGTCTTTGCAAATACTTTTAACCTACTTCAGATTTTTTTTAATAAGCATGCAAAGCTTTATTGATAAGCCAAGTGGCATCTGCAAACATTAATTAATTAATTAATTAATTCATTCATTCATTTTCTTTTCAGCTTATTCCCTTTATTATTCTGGGGTTGCCACAGCGGAATGAACCACAAACTTATCCAGAGTATGTTTTACACAGCAGATGCCCTTCCAGCTGCAACCCATCACAGATAAATACCCATACACTCTCATTCACACACATACACTACAGACATTTTAGCTTACCCAGTTCACCTACACCACATGTCTTTGGACTTGTGGGGGAAACCAGTGCTGAATTTAAACAAACAAATTCAATGTAGTTATGTACGGCTTAAAATGTTTGTTTAAATTGAGTTTATAAAAATTGTTTGTAACCACTTACCTTTAGTAAATAAAATAAATAATTGTTTTCAATTTAAGGTGTCTGTGAAGACATCCTAAACAATCATTATTTTGTACATGCAGCTCAACAAAAAAAAAAACCTTCTAAATGACTCTACTTTTTATTTTACAATTTGGAGAAATGTTATTAGAGCTTTATAGATAGAACAAATTTAAACAAATTGCATTGTTTTTAAAAATGTACTTAAAATTCTTCTTTATTGAAAATAATGCGGCGACGCAGTGACGCAGTAGGTAGTGCTGTGTTGCCTCACAGCAAGAAGGTCGCTGGGTCGAGCCTCGGCTGGGTCAGTTGGCATTTCTGTGAGGAGTTTGCATGTTCTCCCTGCGTTCACGTGGGTTTCCTCCGGGTGCTGCGGTTTCTCCCACAAGTCCAAAGGCATGTGGTACAGGTGAATTGGGTAAGCTAAATTATCTGTAGTGTATGTCTGGGAATAATTGTGAATGGATGTTGCCCAGTGATGGGTTGCAGCTGTTCAAGTTGGCGGTTCATTCCGCTGTGGCGACCCCAGATTAATAAAGAGACTAAGCCGAAAAGAAAATGAATGGATAAAAACAACACACACACACACACACACACACACACACACACACACACACACACACACACACACACACGCCCACAAATAATAAGTAGATTAAAAGTATATATTTAGGAATTTAAGAAATAAATTATTGATGGAACATATTTTAAAATAAGACTAAAATAAACAATCCAATAGGCAAAATAAATGTTTAAAGTTTCACAATATGAAAAGTCAATTTTACGCATCATGTGTTTCACTTTATTTTTTTTTAGCCTCTCTGAAGTGAATATAGTACATCCTAACTGCTCAGATATTGCACTAGATTATCAGTTTTAACCGCACCCATGTTTTCTCCGCCCAGTGTGAACGGACTAATGTTGTAATAATGTGACAGTGAGCAGTTAAAAACGCTCCTATGATGATTACCTATGCCACAGCAGGACAAGAACCATTCCATTCAAAGCAACGGGAACGTGAACGCGCTCCGATTGCGTCGCGTCGCCGTGAGGAGCGCGAGCCCGCGAGCAAAGGTCGAGTTTACGGCGCAGGTGCGCGGTTTAGCAGAGACCCGCTGGCACTCTTTAACTCGACCTGTCTAACTAACTTATCGTAGCTATCACTGGGGCGAGGCTTTGACACCATCTATCGAAAATGAGTCAGAAATGAGTATCTAGCGTCCAGTGTTCAGATCGGCGTTCAACACACAGCCTGTTAAAGGTCCCGCGCGCGTCTCAGGTTTCTGTCTTCAGCGGCTCCCCTTAAAAGACTCACAATGCCGAAGCCTGTAAGTACTTCTGCTTTTATTTTTTTACACGTAAAAACCAGATAACAGTGTCACAAGTGGCGACCGGCATATCAATAAACTACTTTACATAACAATTTTGTGTATCAGATATCTTATTACAGCAGCCATGTCTATTATACCTTACTAACATGTCAATTGTTTGCTTGTCCTTTGAATAGTACGTTGAAGTTGGTCGTTTTGTTTGTCAGTTAAAACAACAGACCTCTAAATGTCATTGTTTTCATTAATTAATGTTACTTTGAAACTGAAATTTATATACATTACTTAATTTTGTCTGTCACAAAGACCTACTTAAATCTACCTATTAATAACTATTAATAAACAGCAAATTAGAAGTTCATTGATTCAAATAGTTAATGGTTTATTAAAAGCGATAAAATAAAGTGTGACCGGATATTTATTACAATACATCTAAAAATTGCTTCCATGGTGAATATTTTGCTACCATTTACAATATCCATGATGGTGAAGAAAATCTGGATAAATCAGCATTTATTATATTACTTCCTCACAATTCTGGATTATGTTGAGTCAAAAGTGTTTAATTAATCAATATAATGTGTTTAAATCTTATTGTTTAATGGTCATATTGGATCTTCATTATTATGCCTATATCCTAAAATTATTTTCCAAAAGGTGTAGCGATTACCTGAACCCTCAGGAAGACTTTTAATTCGCTGGTTAACATTCTTGAGTAAGATGAGTTTTTACACATTAACTAGACTTAGACAATGACGGCGAGTTCACACTGTGTTCATGGGTGCAGAATGCAGGACAGGTAAAAGATTAGCCAAATGCACATTGTGCTGCAGTGAACATACTTTCGACTTTAGTGTGTGAGGTGAATAGCAGGATGTGATGTCACATTAATTATTGCCCTTAACATTCAAAAGAGGTTACTGGAAAACCAGTTTATTCATTAGGAGTTTTTTTCCCCTTCATTATATGAGATTTTCTAGTGGCATATGTTGATTCATACTGCATACCTCATGAACTTTGGATGTTGTAAAATGCATATATTTCACCATACCTTTATGCAGAAGATTTTAAAACTGTAATATTATATGTTATCATCAGCATCCATTAAAAGTATCTGAAAGAAATATCATTTCCAGCTTTGTCCTGCACTGAAAAAAGTGTTGCATGCAGAAGTGTTGCGAACAATTTATTTGTGTTGAATTTAAACAAACAAATTAAATTTAATAATGTTTAACTTAATTTGTTTGTTTAAATTCAGCCCAAATAAATTGTTTACAGCCACTTAACGTAAAAAATTGAGTAAATCCAATCCAAGGAATCATCTTTGAATAATTTTTTTTTCAGTGTATAATACACTGAAAAAAAATATTCGAAGATGATTCTTTGGATTTGCTAAATTTTTCATGTTAAGTGGTTGTAAACAATTATCAAGCACAAAAAAAGTTAATTATAACATGGAATAACAACAAACAGTGCTGTACTTCAATTAAAATTGAATGTCCTTTAAATTTATTTGTAACAATGTATTTTTCTGTCCAGGATCATGCATAAATGTCAGTTGTATTTTAATTGTGAAGTTTGCACTTGTAATTTCAAAAACAAAATAAAAAAAAAAACTAAATAAACAGAAAATAAGGTGATTCAAAATGGTTAAAAGCTAAAAAAAAGTATAGATTAAAAATCTAAACATTTGTTTTACAAAAAATGAACATTTACACGAAAATTATGTACTTAAAACAGAAAAACAAAAAAACAAAACAGTTTAACAAAAAAACAAAAAACAGTTTTGTGCACAGATGACAGTTACAACAACACAAACTTTGAAGTGGATTTATGAAAACACAGAATTGTGCATAAAATGCCAGTAATTGGGAATGTCATTGACTGAACTTGTAATCTGATTTCCAAAATGTGCACTTTGAAACCTCTATTTGTAAAAATGTGCATTTTTAGCCCCCTAAAATCAAACTTGAAATAAACAAAAAACTATGAAATAAACAAAAATAAATGTATAAAAGTTTTCAGTTTTAGTCAGAAAGGGTGTTGTGTAAACCTTTTCCATTCGTTGAATTACCCAAATACATTAATTAAAGGGTTAGTTCACCCAAAAATGAAAATCTGTCATTAATTCACCCTTGATTTGTTACAAAGTTGTGTTTTTCTTCTGTTGAACACAAAAGAAGATACACTGTAACAAATAATTATTTACTTTACCTAAAAAAGTGTGTAAATCTGTGTAAATCTAGAAGTGACAAACTGACTTAGAAATATGAGTAAACTCATCGTAACCTGTACTATAAAGTTGGTTTAAGTTACGTTTTATAATCGTTTTTAATCATTTACTTAAAATATTTTAAGGCAACGGGTTTACCTACTTTTTAAATAAAGTCAACTAATTGTTTTTACAGTGAATTCTGAAGAATGCTGGAAATTGATAACCATTGACTTCATTCATTCATTCATTTTCCTTTGGCTTAGTCCCTTTATTCATCAGGGGTCGCCACTGAGGAATGAACTGCCAACATATTCAGCATATGTTTTATATAGCAGATGCTCTTCCAGCAACAGCCCAGTATTTGAAAACATGACTTCCATATAGATTTAAAAAAATTTATTGTAATTTTTTTATTGTAATTTTTTTGTACATTTTTCAGTGAAGTCTTCCTTTAACTATTAGACCTGAAGCTCATTTAAGCCTAAGAAAGAGTTTTTGAGTGGAGCGCAAACACTTATCTGTGACTTGAGGAGCGTGAATTAGCACCGTCCTGTGAGAAACTCTGAACTTCCAGGCAAATGAGACATGTCTTTTTAGCAGTCCTGCGGTGTTATTACGTGCTCCAAGTCTTTCTTCCGGATGGATAAAATGTGCAGCTCTGGTAGTTGCTCATGGAGACGGCGACTGCTGGATTAACCATGCCGTCCGTTCCCATTGTTTGGACAAATCCGTCCGAGAAGACAAGCTTTGAAGATTAGAGATTATATGTGACATGCTGGCTTTGAGTTTATTATAATTTTTTATTTAATTTGGATAAAAACAGACTAAAGTTGCAAGTAATAAGCAGCTTGTTACTGACAAGGTTTAAGAAATCAGATACAGTTAAAGGCAATTTTTTTCAAATACTTTTCAAAGTGATAATTAACAGAAAGTACATTTTCTATTGTATTTTTCTTGTGGCGAAACTCTTATTTCTTTTAGTTTAGTTGGAATAAAAGTTACTTTTTACCTTAGGATCAAAATTATTAGAAACCATTTTTTTTATTGTTTCCTAGTACTGGGTTACAGCTGGAAGGGCATCCACTGCGTTAAACATATGCTAGAATAGTCGATGGTATTCCGCTGTGGCGACCCCTAATGAATAAGGACTAAGCTGAAGGAAAATTAATGAATGAATGTTTTCGATTGACTATGAAAAAAGCCACTGCTAATTTACCTAACTTTCCTAATTAACATGAATAAACTAGTTAATAATAATTTAAATTGCGCACCAATATCTTGCAAAATAACTAGTGAAATGTTATGTACTGTCATCATAGGAAAAACGTTATTAAATTATTTTTAAAAATATTATATTTAAAAATGTTTTGAAAAAAATACTCCGCATTAAACAGCATTTGGGAAATATTTGAAGAAGAATTAAAATGACACTTTAGCCTTTGACTGTATGTGCTAATATAATATTGTAGGTGTGGAATAGTTCTCATATAGATGCCATAATGTGACAGCAGTGATTTAAATTCTCTTGACACGACTGGCTGGCTATCTAAGGGCTCACTGATAAAGGTTCATTTGCATTTTGTTTCCATTATGGCAGACTAATCAGTGAACTCTGAAAATTGCACTAAAATGATTTTCAACCAAAACTGAAATTAAATATACAATTTTTTGTTGTTTATTTTTTTCAACGTTCAAACTGCATTAATATTGTCCTTCATCAGGCAAGTTACCCTGTGTTACCCAAGTGTTGCCGAAACATGTTAATATTGTGTTGTCTTCTAACTGCATATTAATTTTTGTTTTACATCAACTTAGAATTTTTACTGTATTGTATTGTGGTGTAGGGTTAACAGAAATGTTTTTAAAAATAACTTGTTTTAACATGATTTTCACCATAAATTGTTTATACTATTACTAATAATGCTATTAACTGTAAAATCCAATCTATTGAATTTTAAAAATGTTTAAAATGTATATATATATATATATATATATATATATATATATATATATATATATATATATATATATATATATATATATATATATATATATATATGAAGAGTTTAGATGCAAAAACCTCCAAATGCAGTCTGAAATGTTCTCCTAAAATGAATATTTTTCCCAACCTTCTATGTTTATGTTCAGTTATTTCACTTGAAAGGCAAAGAAAATAACTTATTCATCATTATAAAAGTAAAATGGCTGAGCCTACATTCAGGAGTCTGAAAAAAATGATCATTTTAGGAGAAAATATCAAATGTCTTTTAGAAGTTTCTAAACTCTAAACTATCTCTCTCTCTCTCTCTCTCTCTCTCTCTCTCTCTCTCTCTCTCTCTCTCTCTCTCTCTCTATATATATATATATAGATGGATAGATAGATAGATCAGAACTCAGTGGTTCCCAACAGGGGGGTCCCAGCCCACTAGGGTGTCTCAGCAAGCTCTGCAGAAAATATTTACAAGTGGACAATTTGGAATAATTTTCTTATTTAAAGCTGGCTGATTTTCAGTGTAATATCATTGCGCCTGCTGTAGCCATGGTACAGCGATAAAAGTTCCTTGATTATTATGCCAGATTGAGTGTAAAGTTAGCCATATCAGCCTAGAAAATAGAAACTTTTCATTTTCCGTTAGTCTTAGTACACGATACAAGATTTAAATAGGAACATTATTGAGAGAGATGCTAATTGTCTGATCTGATTCAATGACCTATGCTAAGCTAAGCTAAAAGTGCTCCAGACACAAAGATCAGCTTAATGTACTCAAAAATGGAGAACCAGAGTTGTTAATTGAGCCTATACTGTAACAGCTTTACTGAAACAGTTTTAGTTTAGTTCTAGTTTATTCAGTTTATTGAGCACTTTCAAAACAGCTAGGGCTGACCAAAGTGCTGTAGATAAATGTGTATGCTACATTGTATATGTTTGTATTGACCTTATTCTCAAATGCGGAAGTGCGCCTGTTTTCGCGATTGTCTTAGAACTTCCGTTTCAGTCGCCTATGGGAGAAATGACAAGGAATAATAAACGGCAAAAAACGGTCAAACTACTTGCTCTACAAACAAATGTTTGCATGACTATACAGACCAAGTAGAATAATACAACAAGGAAATATCAGTTTGCAACATCAAACAACGAAACGAGCAGTTTTTAATGTCTAAAAATGAATGAAAGTGAATGAGACCGGAAGTCTCGTGCCAAAAAGATTCAAATGGCAGCGCCCGCTCGTCGGCGGAGAATAAGGTCATTTTGTGATGTGGCAGAACCACAGCACCACTTACTGGCCTGGCATGTAATGATTGTTTTTAGTTGGTTTCAGTGGTTTTGTGCGAACGCAGATATTTTTTGAGACAAGGCCAAACAAAAAGTGTAAAAACTGTTGCAGTTTTGTATGATCAGCAGTCAGTAGATCTGCAGTAGGTGACAAGTGTTGGTCAAAACACACAGATCATTTACCTGCTGATGTGGCTAAATACTAACAGCAGGGTGTAACAGTTACTGTGGTGTGAGGACTATAGCACTTGTCACTTCTCTCATGATTAGAGCTATTAAACGTGCACTAATCCTGCGTAAATTTTAGATTTTTATTTGTGCTTTGTGTAGAGATACCAGTAACAGGAAGAAAGCGTCGAACTGATTTGTGGATGGTTCTGAAATAACTTCGCTAACGTCTGTTGCACAAGTTTGAATGGTTTATCTTTACAGCTCTAGAGTAAGTTCACATGAAGATTGTGTAACTTTGACAATGCTTTTAAAGCTCTGTCAAGGTTCAGCAGGTTGTTATGAAAGCTTGCGTAAAGTGTGTTGGACTCAAACGTGAATTGATCAAGAGATTTACACTAAGTCTCTTTTGAAAACAGATATTTGATTGCATAATTACTGACAGTTTAAAAAAAATAAAGCACTTGTTCACTCTGTTTTTTATTTTTAGCTTCTTTGTGTAACATGTTAATACAGGGGAGAGGGTTGCTGAATAACTACTGAGAGATTTCAGCTGCTGTATGGGCTTTCAGTGCCTTTCTACACCTTCCTTTCTTCATGTGTTCAGAACTTTTTCCTGTGTCATTCCTTTTTATAATACATAACTTCACTTGTAAACTAATTAGATTTGTTTTTAGCATATATGGATTTCTATGGTTGTTATCATCTTCTGTTGCAAATTTCAAGTCAACGGCACCTTTATTCATTCTTTCATTTTCCTTCAGCTTGATCTCTAAAATGGTGACGTGGTGAACACTTATTTCCCTCACTGTATATATTTTATTCTACAAATATCTGAAAATGTTTTTTTCAATTGTCAAATCAGTTATCGCCACTTAGAGTTTTTTTTTTTTTTACTTTTCAGAAAATTAATATTTATAAGTTGTGATTTAAAATCAGGATTATACCAAGAAATACAGATTTTTAAATTCTTCTTAAAGCACTGGGTATGTGTTTTTTAAAATAATTAATATAATCCTTTTTAGAAATTTTATGTAAAAAATGCCTAAATTAACACTTTTTCTTGAATGTTTTACTCAACTACATACCAATAAACCATAAATCCAGAGAAAATGAGGATTGTTTTTTAGAGCTGGTTTTGTTCACAAGAGAACATTTTTTAAATATAAAAGTATCTCTTTCAAACAGTAAATACCAGATATCAGCCATGAAATGTTATACTTATGAATGTTCATTGATCTGATGTAACTATCTCTATTTCACTATTAGATAATGCAGATCTTTCATAAGGCTTTATTGCCTGTGGATTTGTGGAATGACGTGTAATTTAGTTGGCATTACACTCCATGTTATATAGTTACCATGCCTCTGATAAGCGCTTTTCTGATTGATGAATAATAAATGTTTGGTATGACAAGTGTGACGTAACTGTATCAAATATTTTATTGTGAACGTTAACTTTGCCTTAGTTTGGCCAACACATCTTTCGTTTTGTTGCAATGGCATGTTCATGAGAAACATGTTCCAAATTAGCTTATTAGAAAAATAAACATATAATATAATATACAAAATATATGCTATTTGATCATTAATCATGCATCATTTATGTTAAACTGACATTAATGTATATCATTAGCTATACTCACATTTATTTAATGTATTTTAGGCCCCATGCACACAGAGATGTGTTTAGCTGTACAGGTATTTGCCAGAAGGAACTGACAATTTTAAAGAGTGAAACTGCTATTTTTTGAAACAGGGTCCCAATGAAACGCCCTGGCATTTCAATACGAACAACCAATTTGTATATTTTGTAAAATAATGATCATTTCATCAGCCCATATCTCGACTTAGACAGCGCTACATCTGCGTTTGTGCTGCAGAAGCTACTAAGTCTAAACACTGCACTTTTTGTTTTAAAATAGACTCATTTTACCACTCCCCCAGCTGAGTTTTACCATTTTTAAATGACAGGAAGCAGTTTTAAGCTTAGCTTAGCATAGATCATTGAATCGGATTAGACCATTAGCATCTCACTCAAAAATGAGCAAAGAGCTTCTATAATTTTCCTGCTTAAAGCTGGCTGATTTTCAGCACTGAGTAATATTGTACCTGCTGCAGCCATGATATAGCAGTAAAGGTTCCTTAATTATTACACCAGAATGAGAGTACAGTTTCTAGCCATCTCAGCCTAGAAAGCAGCAGCTTAGGGCCCTAGCATACACTGGCACAATTGTTGTTTGCTAGTTTCAGCTCGGCGCAAGAGTCGTTTTGACGTTTTGCAGCACGCTTAAATAGCAAATGCATTTGCGCTCATTTGTGTGCCCATAGGCGTTCTGGTCTAAAAAAGGAGGCGTGCTGCGGCACATTGCTGGCAAGTTGCTATTTTGAGGAACTATAATAGGCTGCACAATAGACCAGATCAAAGCTGGTCTACAGTCCAGCGCAGAGCGCGTTAGTTGTGCCCCTCACTTACACATTGCTTAATACACACAGGATGTAAAGCAATACACAAATATCTTTACAAAAGAAAAATAATTAAAGAATTAAAATATTACAAAAATTATTATTTTCTAGCTAAAAACCACCGCCTCCATGCCTTTTTCATCTCGGGGGGCTTTTTTAGTTTATTCATGACAATTTGTTTTTATATAATGTTATTATTATTAGCAGAATTATTTATTATATGCAAATTTATATTTGTTTTATTAAAACTAGCTTAGATTTGCCCACCTGTCAGGTTTTAGATCATATGGGGCACAGCATGTGTATCTGAAAATCAATTAGTTTTTTGACCACACTTTGTAATTATTGTTCATTTATTCCTTTGCTGGAAATTAGAACTGAATTTAGAAATAGTTTTGAAACAAATCTTTGTGCTTAATAAATGACATTAACTATGTATAGGCTAATGGATGTCTGCATACAACACGTTTCCCTATCCACGAGAGTGAAAGTGAAAGCAAATAATGAGGAGGCTCATCTCTGATCTCGCACTGTAGATGCTCTTGTTTAACTGTTTTCTCTCTAGTAAAGCATTCAGTTTTTCCACTTACAAAGTCCGCCATGTAAATAGCAAATGCACCATGGCGCGACACAACTGACTCTTAAAGGGAATGGGAGATGAGACTCTGATTGGTTTATTCTCAAAACACACCTATAACTCATTAAGAAAATAAGCTCAACCCTGTTAGACCATGCACCATGGCGCAAAGCAGATTTTTCCATCCTTAAAATAGCAAAAGTGGATTTGGACACATCCTTAATGCTTTTGCGCCTGGATCCTCAAAATAGAGCCCTTAGTACACAATGAAAGTACATTGTGCAATGTACAAGTACAAGTCTGGAATAGGACAATTTTTGAGACAGAAAAACAGCAATGGCATATTTTATATTTCTGTACAAATGTCAGGTTTAAAGATGAGTTGTCCCATTATGGTGTGTGCACCAAATGAAATGTGCAAGTGTTTATATAAATGCATACAAAGTAACTTTTGTGTAATAAAAAATATGGGTGGAAAAAGTAACAGAAAACCCATATTTTTAATTGTAAAAATGAAACAACATACTTATTCTGACCTGTATTTATTAATTAAACACACACAAAAGAAAAAATAATAAATTATACAGTATTATATTTTAAATGATGAAAAGGTTATTGCTGAATGATAGTGGCATAAGTAATTAACATAACATTTCATTAGTATTAGTATTTTTAGCAAGTGATTCTTTTTTTCAATATGCCTGTCTATTTCCTTTGCAAATATACCTGTCAGTATATTGAATAGCATTGGGCATCATATTAATAATTTATTACATTTTACATACACATTGTACATATCCAACATTACATTTCACATTTATTACAATGATAAGTTCGATATTTTGATGCTTAAAATCTTTTTTTTGTTTTTGACACCAACACATTTTTTTAGTTTTATTTGATTCCACTTGATTGATTTAGTGCCAATGAAAGGCCGCTCACTTGTGTCTGTTCTTTGCAGATCAATGTCCGCGTCACAACAATGGACGCCGAGCTGGAATTTGCAATCCAGTCGGTTACAACAGGAAAACAACTTTTTGAACAGGTAAACATGTAATATTGAAATCTCCCTCATTATTTTGAAAAGCTTGACCAATGATGAATTCCTGCTGTTATGTAAATTGTAAAGGAATAGTTCATTCAAAAATGAAAAAAAGCTTGTTAATTTACCCCTCAGACCATCTAAGATGTAGCAGACTTTTTTTCTTCAGCAGAACATTAAAGAAGTTTCTTTTTAGCTGCTACTTTGAACATTGCAAGTCAATAGTTACCATTACTATAAGAATCACTCACTCATTCAGCTGTAGTGTCTGCTTAATCAGGGGTCGCCCTGATGAACCACCAATTACTATTTACAAATGCACAAACAATTTTGACAATTCACACAAATACTCATACAGTAGAGCTAGTTTAATTTATCCAATTCACCTATATCTTTGGACTTCAAGAAATGCCTCCTGGTCCAGCTGGAACTTAAACCAGCAACCTTCTGGCTGAAAGGCAACAGTACTAACCACTGAGTCACCGTGCTGCCCCTGCAATATGTATATTGTAGGGTTATGAGTATGAAGATTATGAACAACATTATAACCTACAGCCCCAGGCAGACAGTTTGGGATGATGTCCGGTTTGTGAACAAACAGTTCTTTTTAGTGAACTGGATGAACCAGCTCACCAGATTAGGCAGAACCATCTGAAACTATGGTTTGCTATAAGTCACTCAATCAAAACTCACGTTTATACAGTCACTCTGATGCAAATTTAAAGAATTTAAGATACTACAAAGTCAGTTTTTGCAGTCAAAGTCAGTCTCATTCAACTCTCGCTAATATTGAAGTGTGATCAATATATGCAACACACATGTATAATATATAATGACATGTAAGACATACATAAAGCATTCAAATAAAGGGGTGAAATTGAAGTTTTGATGGTTTCTCATGGTTTTCATGTAAAAAGGTGAGCTGATGAAGACTTTATGCACTCTAAAAGCTTTTGTCAAAGTATCCCTAATTCATTATTGGATACTGCAATAGTATAATTGTGTGTACATTACATCATTGTGTGATTACATAAATCAACAGGCTAATCACTTATTTGAACCAGAAACAAAGGCTGTTTCTCAATTCCAAGAATGCAGAGAACAGACTGGCGTTTTCGTGGAGAGGGGTCTTGTCAGGTTAACTCAGAAAGACAAACTCTGGAGACGGTGAAAACTGTGAACGCGTCCTGTGAGAAATGAAAGGTCACATGACCTTCATGCATTTTTAACAGAAATTTATTTAAAAATTACAGCATTCATACAACGGTTTATTGTTTTTCCTTTTTACAATATATAACATACAAAAACTTTACAAATATACGTTGCTCAATACAAATAAAACAGATTTCAATATGAATTTCAGCATATAAACTCCCTTAATTTGTTTATGTCTTTATAAAGATTTTCATTGTGAATGTTTACTATCACCATCTCATTTAGGGAAACTCCTGAGATAAATAGGTTATATCGCTGAACTTTAATAATTAACAGGTATAGAATGTTGCACTTCTTACCTCCTTTGTTCTGCTGCAATCACTTTTGGGACTTCCAGAGTGAGTTCGGTGCTCAAGTCTGCGTCCACGCATCCTCGATATCAAGAACACATCCGGGAACCTTCATGCATCCTCCAGTCTTGCGGTCTTGAGTTTTGGAACTGAACTTTGAAGGTTGATGATGACGTTACACAAGAACACAAGAATGCTGAAGTGTCTGAGACTGTAATGTAATGCAATGTACTGTCAGAAGCTATTACATAACCTGATTTTCACAGCAATGATAACCTATCTATGAGTAACACTTTATGAATGATCCAAATTCAGACCACAGTTTCAGCTAAAAACTCTTCTTTACTGTTCTACGAAAATACATATTGGATGGGTCGAAGCGGAGTAAAATAACACCAAATTTAAGTTTTGGGTGATCTACTCTGTGAAAAAAGTCATGGTTTTCAAACAAAAACTGTAAAATTACAGAAAATATCTTTATGCGAATAAAATGCAAATATATACAGTTGAAGTCAGAATTATTAAACCCCTTTTGATTATTTTTTCATTTTTAAATATTTCTCAAAGGATGTTTAACAGAGCAAGGACATTTTCACAGTATGTCTGATAATATTTTTTATTTATTTATTTATATTTTTATTTAAAAAAAAACATTTGAAGATCAAAATTATAAGCCCTTTTAAGCAATATATTTTTTCTCGATAGTTTACAAAAAGGCCATCGTTATACAATAACTTTCCTAATTACCCTAACCTGCCTAGTTAACATAATTAACCTAGTTAAGCCTTTAAATGTCACTTTAAGCTGTATAGAAATGTCCTGAAAAATATCTAATCAAATATTATTTAGTCATCATGGCAAAGATAAAATAAATCAGTTATTAGAAATCAGTTATTAAAACTATTATCTTTAGAAATGTGTGGAAAAAATCTTTCCTTTAAACAGAAAATGGGGAAAAATTATTTAGGGGGCTAATAATTCTGACTTTAACTGTGTGCATTTTACAGATATTTTAGATGAAAGTTTTATAGAAAAAAGCAGTAATTTGACATTTTCCTTGTTTAAATTAAAAGGTTTGCTTTTATTTTATGTTTTTTTTAAATGATTAGCTTTACAGTTGAATCTTTCCTAGATTATTGTGATGAAACACATTCATTAAAGTCATCATATAAGGGACATTCTACCAGAAATGTACATTTTCACTAATAAAAATGTGACAGGGCCTGACTTTTAAGCTTTTCTTTCTAAAAAAATCATACAAAACAAGCATAAAATCCTACAATTTAATGATGGAATGCATCCATGTTCACTGTCAAATTATGTCCCTTATAGCCTTAAAGGTGTATTGCACGCATTTTATGTTAAATTTAATGCAAATAGGGCTGACAGAAACATGGGGACAATTATAAAATAGTATTTATTTGTAGAATTTATTCATAATTGGCATCAAGGTGGCGCAGTGGGTAGCACAATCGCCCCACAGCAAGAAGGTCGCTGGTGTGAGCGCTGACTTGGTCAATCGCCTTTTCTGTGTGGAGTTCAAATACATGCGGTATTGGTGAATTGAATATGCTAAATTAGCCATAGTCTATGTCTGTGAATGAGTGTGTATGGGTGTTTCCCATTGTTGGGTTGCAGCTGGAATAAAAGCGTCCGCTGCGTAAAACATATGCTGGATAAGTTTGCGGTTCATTACGCTGATTACCCCTGATTATTAAAGGGACTAAGCCATAAAGAAAATGAATGAATGAATGAATTTATTTAAATTTCATATTTTTAATCAATTGATGTAAATGGTAACAACTTAAACTTGCTATTTCTGAAGTTTTTTTTCTAAATTAAAGTTTTTAGCATAACAAAACTGTTGAAGCTGTAGGTTCAATTGGGCTGAGGAGAAGGACAATGACAGGGTTTGTACATTTGTAAAGTGTTTTTAATAAAGAAAAGAACATCTGAGAATTCCTGACATTCATTTAAAGAACGACTCACAGAAATCAACCATCAATCCATTTTAGAATTTTGTTAGGATGAAATACTTTTTATTCATTATATTTATATCAAATAGTCAGGTTTTTTTTTTTTTCTCAAATTAGTCTGTTTATCAAGGCGGCATTTATTAAATGTAAAAAAAATTGTTCAATTGTTTAATATTTATTAAAGTTTTAAATAACTGCTTTCTTATTATTACTCCAGTCATTATTACTTTTATTACAATTTCATTAATAATAATAATAATAATAATAATAATAATAATATTTCTGGAGAATCATGTGATTCTGAAGACTAAATGAAGCTTAAATTTCATCATTAAACCTGGAATAGATTTTTAAATAAATTATAAACTAATTAAGTTATTTTATAGTGCAATAACATTTCACAATTTTACAATTGTACTGTATTTTTGATGACATAAAGGCAGTCTTGGTGAGCAGGAGAAGCTTATTTTAAAACATTTAAAAATCACACGGACCTCACACTTTTAACCGGTAGTGTGTGTTTTTAATTCAGGAACAGATAATGTACGTTTCTGGTAGAATGTCCCATATGTGTTCAAAGAAACCCTGTTATTTTACAGATTTGAACTAACTTACCGTAATTAAAAAATACATGATGAAAGTTTTAATTTAACACTTTAATTGTGGAAGTCTGAAAATAAAAATAAAAAACATAAAACTCATTAAAATCACCTTACAACTTTTATTTATAGCATTTACTATACATTTACTTTAATAGCATTAAAATTATGTACTAACATGTACTTTTTCTCCACTTTAAATATGGATGAGGGGGCGTTTTAATAGTTTCACTTGCAATAGGAAGACCTATAAAAAAATCCTAGCAAGAGGATACACATATGTGCTTGTTTATTAGTATCTACTATTTAAACTGCCACACACACAATATCCTACCACAATGACTCATCAACTTGTAGCAACTTGTAAACTATTTTTAAGACTCTTTTTCTTTTTGTAACGAAACTCTGTCACTAATTGCATTTTGCTTTTGTTAGTCACACCCGAATTCATGCTCATGACTGCCGTCACTGGGTGTAAATCATTTTTCAGATACTGTTAAGATTAGTAATGCTGCACTATCTTATTATGGTGATTAGTGAGGTTCGTGATAATACAGGACATATGGAATATAACGGCAAGGTGGAGAACACCATCTCTGCCTTTATTTGTACACACATAACTGATAAGGAGATGGGTTGGGTGGTGGTTTCCCTCCCTGTGGATAACACAAACTTTTACTGAAGTAGAGATTCTCCCATTGTTTAACCTACAACATAACGTCATGCTTTTTATTAAGTGCTGAGGTGATTCTGTATTGTGTTTCAAAAATGCGTCATATATATTGATATCGCAGCTTTGATTCATTGTGTTGTGTTGGTCACATGCGTAAGAAGCTGAATCTGATCCGTTTTCAGGTGGTTAAGACGGTGGGTTTGCGTGAGATCTGGTACTTCGGTTTGCAGTTCACAGACAACAAAGGCTTTCTGACATGGCTGAAACTGGACAAGAAGGTATTCCTTATCATGTATTTATCGGTATACAAAAGATGTTTTGTGTTTGCAATTTGCATATATAATAAATAATAAATGCTTGATATTAAAATGCTGAATTACAGGGTTCATACGGTTATGGAAAACCTGGAAAAGTCATGGATTTTTGACATGGCATTTTCCAGGCCTGGAAAAGTTTTGGAAAAACAGAAAAACCCACAAAGTTTCGGAAAAGTCATGGAAATTAGTTTAACAAATATCTGTATAGTTGAATTAGGGCAGCGCGATATGGGAAAAATCTGATATTTTTATTTCTGTGATATATATTGCGATGTGAATACAATTTTACCTGATGATTTAACAAGATTTGGGGGGATTTTGTAGAGGAGTAAGTCTAGAATAATATATAACAAATAAATTACAAGCATAGATAAATAAAATATAGTCAAGATAAAAATGAATGAAAGTTTTCAGGGATTCACTATTTAGGTACAGATATTGAATATCTATATCAGATACCTCTCTTTTCACCCTGATGATCCCTCGGTTCCAGCTCGCATCTCCGCCTGCCTGTCAGACATTTCACACTGGATGAAAGATCATATTCTTCAGCTTAACCTCACGAAAACAGAAATGCTTGAAGTTTCTGCCAACCCGACTCTACATCATAACTTCAATCCAGATGGATGGGGCAACCATTACTACATCCAAAATGGTGAAAGAGCTTGGAGTAACGATTGATGACCAGCTAAACTTCTCTGACAACATTTCTAGAACTGCTCGATCGTGCAGATTCTCTATAACATCAGAAAGATCCGACCCTTCTTATCTGAACATGCAGCTCAACTCCTTGTTCAAGCTCTTGTTCTCTCCAAACTGGACTATTGCAACTCTCTATTAGCCGGGCTTCCAGCTAACTCTATCAAGCCTCTTCAGCTGCTTCAGAACGCAGCAGCATGAGTGGTCTTTAATGAACCTAAAAGAGCACATGTCACTCCGCTACTCATCCGTTTGCACTGGCTGCCAGTTGCTGCTCGCATCAAATTCAAAGCTCTGATGTTTGCCTACAAAGCGACTTCTGGCTTTGCTCCTCCTTATCTGCTCTCACTTCTGCAGATTTATGTGCCCTCCAGAAACTTGCATTCTGTGAATGAACGTCGCCTCGTGGTTCCATCCCAAAGAGGGAAGAAATCACTTTCCCGAACTCTCGCATTCAATCTGGCATGTTGGTGGAATGAACTCCTTAACTGCATCAGAACGGCAAAGTCACTCGCTGTCTTCAAGAAACGACTAAAAACTCAACTATTTAGTCTCCACTTTACTTTCCAATCTGCAATTGCCTCTCTGGCTCCACCGCTAACTGTTTTAAAAAAACAACAAAAAATTGACTAATGTTTTGCTTCTTACATTTTACATACCTGAAACTTGCCTACAGCACTTATTCATTGTTGCTCGTATAGTTGTGTAAATTGCCTCCTTGTCCTCATTTATAAGTCGCTTTGAATAAAAGCGTCTGCTAAATGACTAAATGTAAATGTAAAAGAATAATCAACACTGCATAGTCTTCCTTGTATATTATTTATTCTTTATTCAAATTTCAAAACAAGTCTTGTGGCCGGATGTTTTAAAATGTGAAATGTTCACACAGTCACAGGCCTTAAAGGGACAGTTTACTCAAAGATTAAAATGTACTCACTATTTAGTCACACTTCACTTGTTTCAATACTATAGAAGTTATTAAATTAGATTCTTTTTGTGTTCATTTAACAAAAAAAGAAAAGTGTTTGAAACAAGTGAAGGGTGTAATGTAAATGGTAAGGAATATTTAGGTGGACTATCTCTTTAAAAATGCATGCAGATGATAAACCTTTACTCCATTATGATTAAACTCTATATTAAACTATACTCACATGTTTGCAAATCCTGCAGTGTGATTATTGCGGATGCACACATTGCGATATTGATGCAGAAACAATATATTGTGCAACTTGAATATAGGTTAGTTGTCTTTACTTACTTTCTGTTTTTGGCAAAAAACTTGCTCTCACATAGTTAGTGCTGTGTAAGCATTATCAAAATTAATTTTACATAAGATATAAAAACAGATTGAAAGAAAAAATAGATTGTTGCGTGCTCTATGATATGCTGTAATACATTTAAACGTCATTGTTTTTCTTAATATTTACCATGTATATATAGACATTACATGAAACAATACGTCATGAAAATGTACTTGAAAGTTCTGGAAAAAGTCTTGGAAAAGTCATGGAATTTTAGTAGTAAAAATGTGTATGAAATCTGTAATTAATGTTAATACTGTTAAAAGCATATTAATAATATGTTAATAACATTTTCAGTGATAGTTTAAAAACAAATGTTGTTGTTTAACTAGTCACCTATTGTTTATCAGACATTACAAAGATTTTAGCACTGACATTTCAATACAAAAACAACAACAAAAAATACAGCTTGGCTCTTGATGATACATTAAAGTGAAACATTCAAACTATTTGTAAATAAAAACCTGATAAAACTCTGATCAGAAGTAAATAGATCAGACTACTGTAAATTAACATTATTTACAACATTACAAGCTTTAATCTAAAGGCAGGGCAACATTTGTATTTAGTTTAATTTAGAGCAAAACCTATTTCCCATTTGACATGAATGACATCTCAAACTGTGACGTGATGAGGAGGAAATTAATATAGCTTGTTTAATTTAGATTTTTAGCCTCCCAAAAAATAAAACAGATTAGAAAATCCCTTTATAGTCTCATTAGGCTGGGCATACACCGTGCAAATTTGGTCATATTTTGAGACCTGTGGATCTTTTCTTTGAACCAGACCAAATTTCATCTTTGCAGTGTGTCGTTTGTCATGCTGTGTAAAAGGGGAACAGAGAGGGTGCTAACCTCTCCTAATCAGCAATTGGATGATTATTCTGACATGTCAAAAATTTGGTCGAACCTTATGAGGGAATCACCACATTGATTCAGAACTTCGCTCTATCTACAAAAACAGAACCACACTTCTGGGTTCATGGGAGTGTGTTGGTGCAATATTAAATGATACTGTCCTAAATGCACAGAAACAATTTGAGTACGATATTCTGTTTATATATTTGCAAGATTCAGAGAAAAACAAAACTTGTTGTGTTTTTTTAAGTTCTTTCTGCCCTCCTAAACTTCACACTCCTTCCCATTAGGTGGCGTGAGTACACATATACTGGTTTGCCAACAACCAATGAATGAGAAAGAAGAAGGAGATGTGTTGCGCTGTAGATTGATACTGCAAAATTTGGTATCGGGACAATATTGGTAATACCAATACCGATTCCAATACCGATACTTCTCTTTTTTTTCGATTGAATTTTGGCAAATGTAGCAAAAGTATCACATCAAATCTTTTACAAAATGAAACAACTTTTAAGATATTCATGTTAATGAACAATTTTTGGAAAGATAATTGCTCAAAATAATCGCTGACTCTGTAAGATTTTAAAACTTCACTCCCTATTTTGACTTTTTATCTTTTGGAAATGTTGTAGTACCAGCTGTTATGATTATTTGCCTCTTTATGATAAATAGTTTGTTGTAGCCTTTATTTGTAATTTACTTTGAATAGAAGCATCTAAGAAAAAAAAAAAAAAACTTGAAGGAAAAAGTCCTTCCATTTGAGGTTTTTATAATAGGAATAGGAATAATATAATAACAAAACATCATTTCTTTCCTAAAACATCTTTGTCTTTAAATAAATATTAATACATTTAAAGCAATATAAAGCAACCAATGCACAAAATGCATACTGGAGAACATATATAAGTTTTTAATTTAGTGGCTAATTTGTATGAATATTTGGGTTTAGGGGCAGGGTTGGGTGTCACACCTCCTTTTTAAAATCTTACATTTACATACATCGTACATTAGCTGCTAAACAGAGAAAACGTAAAATAGTTACATTTCAGGCTGTTTAAACCACATTTTTACATACACTTATATCCTTTGATGATCCTTTGACATTAGTATCATTTTACACTGAAGTAGCAATCTCGTTAGGCTATATCATTCCGATATTAATATCAATGTTGGTATCAATATTAGATTCAATCCGCATACATGCATAGTGTTAGCAATCTAGTTACTGCCGAACCGTAATTTTCCTTGTCAGTGTTGTTAGTAATCACATGGAAATCGCAAATGGAATCGTTCATGCCCAGCCTTACAGTACGAGATCACTAGCAACCACTCAAAACATTGTAGCAACCACCAACAACACCCTAAAAACAACACAGAGAACAGCTAAAGCCCACTGAAACCATCTTATCAATGGGTGTGGACGTAGTGTAGGTGTTCCTTTACTATTTTATTACTGTCACATTGAGTACTCTGAAGATTCACTCTCTGACATGTGATCACGTCTTTTTTTGATAAGCATGTATGCTTGCAATGCATATTTGAAAGAATTTAGATTATTGCCTACTCCGAAAAAAAATATTCATGAGATTTACTACATTTTTAAGGTAACTGGTTACAAAAATTTATATGGGCTGAATTTAAACAGCCAAATTAAGTTGAACATTACTAAATTTAATTTGGTTGTTTAAATTCAGCCCATATAAATTGTTTGTAACCAGTTACCTTAAAAATGTAGCAAACCTCATGAATATTTTTTTCAGAATAGGCAACAATCTAAATTCTTTCAAACATGCATTGCAAGCACACATGCTTATCAAAAGAAGACGCGATCACATGTCAGAGAGTGAATCTTCAGAGTACTCAATGTGACAAATGTAAATTCAATAAAGCACTTTTTACACAGTTTAGATTCAGTACTAAAAAAACATGTTAATCTGTCTTTATTAATTACAATTTCCACTCACATTAGAATTTGTCACCCCATTATTTACATCTAGACTTTAAATCAGTGTTTACCCCCTGCTATAAAGTTTTGCTTTCACAAATGTTTTACAAATGCAGAGATTTTCATCAGAATCCAAAAGTGTTGTAAGATATACACAAAATTAATAACATTCAGCTTTTTAAAATGGTTTGCAAACATCATTTTTTAAAAAGTAATTGTTTTAGTAATATAATCTATATATTATACATTCGACGTTCAGTTATTCCTTTTTCTGCTTTTATAGGTGTCCTCTCAAGAGGTGAAACAGGAGAACCCTCTGCAGTTTAAGTTTCGGGCCAAGCACTACCCTGAGGACGTGTCAGAGGAACTGATTCAGGACATCACAAAAAAGCTTTTCTTCCTGCAAGTGAAGGAAAGCATCTTGAGCGATGAGATCTACTGTCCGCCAGAGACAGCGGTGCTGCTGGCCTCGTATGCTGTCCAGTCCAAGTTTGGAGACTTTACACCTGAAACCCACAAAACAGGATACCTGTCATCTGAGCGGCTCCTGCCACAGAGGTGAGTGAAACTATTTAAAAGCATTAATCCCGTGTTTGTTTTCTATTGACTCTCTTGTGCTTTCTAGTGCTTATTTTTTGTCCCTGGAGTTTAATTTCCTAAAAAGTTAGTTTCCAACCCCGCTTCATCATAACAATTGTTGCTGATGATATAAACAAGTATTTGATTAAGGTTGGTGCCAAACTTCACATGAAGGTTGCAACAAAGGCTTGTTCTGAATATTAACCCCTATATACAGACCGCAAAGTATGTATGCATTTTGTTTTTAAAATGAACGCTACGGGGCGGTACCAGCTGACTGCTTATCTCAGTGTGGACAGCTTTTCTACTGTTACCGGTTAGGTTTAGGGAAGTGAGTGGTTGCTGGTTAATCAGTGCTTTTTAAAGGGCCATGAAACCCCCCTATTTTGGTTCAATCAGAACTTTATCAAAAAATGCTTCAAGATTGTAATGTGTTTGTAATGAGGCAACAAACACATGTAAACTGCTGAAGTGTTTAATGAACATTTATGCTTTGTGTCACATCACTTAGCTCTTACTGTTATTTTGCTGGAGTGAAATGACAGTAATAAACTCATTTGTTTATGCGGAGGTTGATATTAATTCCTCCCTTTGATCTTAAATGTCATCTAAATGCATTTCTGTCTGGCCATTTTATTTGTAGTATAATTATAATTTAATTATAATTATAATTAATTTAATTATAATTCAAGTCTTTGCCTTGATATTTTCATTTTATTTTCATTTTTTTATTTTATACGGGTGCAGCACTTTTGTATTGTTATATTTATTACTTATTTTATATGTGATTCTGTGTAAACGATAGAGTACTTGACCAGCACAAACTCTCGAAAGAGCAGTGGGAGGAGAGGATTCAGATTTGGCACGAAGAACACAGAGGGATCCTCAAGTGAGTGTAACTACAAACTCTCATTTTCCCATCAAGTTCAAGTCACCGTTCATGATTATCACCTCCTTAAATGCTGCTTCACCAGGGAAGACAGCATGCTGGAGTATCTGAAGATCTCGCAGGACCTAGAGATGTACGGCGTCAACTATTTCGACATTAAGAACAAGAAGGGAACAGACCTGTGGTTAGGAGTGGACGCTTTGGGGCTGAATATCTATGAAAAAGATGATAGGTGAGCACTTTTTTGATCCTTCTGATTTAGACGTAATGTCAGGAAATAGGGTTATTAGGGTCAGTGTGGCAGCTGTCATGACTGGGCGGTTAATGACCTGTCCAAACCAACAAGCCAAACAAGTCAATATGAAGGCATGATGCTCATTATTAAGAGGTCATTGCACTTTAGGAGTAATGGAGCACAATATTTCTGATTGTTGACAAACACACATGCACACACACACACAGTTTGTTTTTGTGAATTGTAGGGGCATTAGGTTACCTGGGTTTTTATACTGTGCAAACTGTATTTTCTATTGCGCTGCCTATAAATCCAACCCTTACAGGAAACTGTGTAGTTTTACCTAAAAAACACTTTAATTTATAATTTATTCATCAGCAGTGTCCCCATTCCTGTGTAATACCCATGTTATTATATATATATATATATATATATATATATATATATATATATATATATATATATATATATATATATATATATTTGTACGGTGGCTAAGAGAGGTTAACGTGCTGCAATTTAAGAAATCGCTTGCAATTACAAAAAAAAAAAAAAACGACAGCAAAAGATCTTCCTCTGTCTGACAGCACACGTGCAGCAAATCCTCACAATGCAAACTAGGGAGGCTCAAAATAATCGATTAACCGATTACCGAAAGGGTGCACTTGTAACCGATTAATGGTATCAGTTAACGATTCAAATATTATTTATATATTTTTAGTTTGGCTGCACAAGTGTTAAGTGTTTTTGTGTTAAGAGGGGCATCTTTTGAATGGTTTCCTAACAGCCACAAGTGTTTTGCACGCGGCTCATCCCAGAGCAGCAGTTTGTGTTGTCAAGACAACTACAGAGAACTTTTAAAGACGTAGGAGAGACTAATCAAATCAATTTAAATCAAATCACTTTTATTGTCACGTCATCAGCAGCATGTGTGCTATGATGAGTGAAAAGCTTAGCTTAATGCTCGCTGTTTCAAGTTATCCAGAGCTGTATGACTTTACAAATCTTGAATATCACAATATTATTAAACATTGCAATTGTAACAACATAGACGGCAACACTCTTGCACAATCACTACGCAGCTGATTCAGTCGTTTCATCGTGCAAAAAAAGAGGACCGCGCCTTTTTTTCCTTGTCAAAAGGAGTGAGTTGCGTCTCGCGTTTTTGGAATGGAAAATCACGTTTGCTCTGATCAGACATGTTTGATAACTCTCGGGACGATAACATATGACCACATATGCCTACAGACATATTTGCTAAAGTAGCAAAATGGAAGAAGAATATTGCTGTTTTATACAGACGAGTTGATGCCAAACCAGCGCTGATGCTGATGGCCTCCTGTATCTGCATCATAAACACAACAAATAGGCTTAAGCTTTCATTTTACAACTTATAAAGCATGTATGCAAATTATTGCAATATCATATTTGAACATCAAAACTGTTACAAAAAGTCAAAATATGCGCGCGTTGTCATTGTCTTTTCATCACGCAGTGTGCGCACTTGAACCGCGAGAGAGAGAGTAAACCATATAGCAAGACATAATCTTTAAAATAATGATTTCTTTTAAAAATGTAAAAAAATGTTTTGTAATATAATAATAACAAAGGGCCATTAAATAAATGCATATTTTCCGTGGAGGAAGCGATTTGAGGAAGTCTGCTATTTTTATTTGACGGAAAACAAAAACATATTATTGGAAAAATTGGAAACAGCCTATGCCCGCTCTTAAAAGGGATCAGTTGGTGTTTTTGTTTTGTTCTCTAAATGAATTATTTAAGTGAAAATAATTTCCGGCAGGCCTATTTATTTTATTCATTTTATTTAGTTTATTCTGGTTTTCTATGCTTTTGAAAACACTGCAGCTGTGTGAAGATGCTCTGTTATGTTCTGTTATTATTATGCTTGCAAGTTAAAATAAATCAGTATTTTAAAATGCAATATTTACACAAACACAAAATAAACACGTCAATTTGTTTAAATTTTTCTTATAATAATTTAATAGTAATCTGACCAGTTAACCGTTAATATCCGATTAATGAGTGGCGGTTGTCGGTTTGCAAAATTAACCGAAATGGGCATCCCTAATGCAAACACATTTAAAAAAAAAAACGTGCTGCATTTTCCCAAAATGCAATCAAATGAATAAAACAGGCTGCATTTTCCCAAAATGCAATCAAATGAATAAAACGGGCTGCATTTTCTCACAACACTTGTAAACAGAAAAGGACACAACGGAAGTGTTTCAAGGGGACCCAAAAACCTGACGAACATTGCTGTGTTGTGACTATTGCTCAGTGCAGTTGTAGGATTTTTGAAAAGTGGGTTTTTCGTTGTTTATTTTAACATCCTGATTCCGTTTTCTTTAGTATTTATGAGTCTAAATAACTATAACCTAAATACCCGTCATGTTTTAGGGTCCCATTAAAACATTTCCATTCCGTTCCATGCTATTTGAAAGTGTTGTGAGAAAATGCAGCATGTTTTTTTTTAATGTGTATGCGTTGTGAGGATTTGTAGCACATGTGCTGTCAAACAGATCTGTTTTTAATTTGTTGGCTTTTTTTTGTAGTTGCACATGTTTTCTTAATTTGCAGCACGTTTAGCTTTGTCTTGAGATGTCACAAAAACATGAACACACACTTTTAAAAAAGTTTGAGTTGCAGGATATAATTATTTTGTTTTCTGTACTTAGGTTGACTCCGAAAATTGGATTTCCCTGGAGTGAAATAAGAAACATCTCGTTCAATGACAAGAAGTTCATAATCAAACCCATTGACAAAAAGGCTCCGGTAAGTTTTGACAAAATGACAAAATAAGAGTAATGAAGATAAAGAAAGAATAAATTTAAGATTAATAAATAGGTTTAAATGCTTGTTTCATGTGACATAGAATTGAAATTTTTTTAAGTGATTTGTTTTAATATAGGCTAGTTTTTAAAATAAATGTTTGTGATGATCAGGAAATGGCAATTTAATGACTTGATAAATGTTGTAACTTAAAAATGGATCATGTATTTTTAAATATATCTATAAATTATTATTTATTATTATATTATCTGTTGTAATTTTCAAGTTTGTAGTTATTTCAAAAATCGGATAAAATTTAGGGTGGTCACTTAACATCTTTAAAATAGTTTAATAAGTATATGTATAAGTTAAAAGAAGTATGTTATTTGCAGTTACTATAATTATGTAGAAAAAGTGATTTAAAACTGTGTTTTGATATATGTACTGGGAGAGACATTTGTGTTGAAGATGTCTGAGTGGATTCAAATAAGTATTATGATTGGAATACAAATTATTATAAGAGGATGGGATTTAGCAGGTCCACCATAATTTCAAGAATGGTTTACAGAATCGGGGAAGGTGGCAGCAAATGAAAAAATAACATAGATTACTTTTTACTATCTTTATTTTTATAGCTCTTTTACAATGTAGATTGTGTCAAAGCAGAAGTTCTAGTAAATTTAAAAACTGTGTCAGTCCAGTTTTCAGAGTTGAAGTTCAGTTTAGTTCAGTTCATTTATTCATTTTCTTTGTCGCTTTATTAATCTGGGGTCACCACAGTGGAATGAACCGCCAACTTATCTAGCACGTTTTACGTAGCGGATGCCCTTCCAGCCGCTACCCAGCTCTGGGAAACATCCCCACACACTCATTCACACTCATGGACAATTTAGCCAACCCAATTCACCTGTACCGCATGTCTTTGGATTTTGGGGGAAACCGAAGCACCAGGAGGAAACCCACGCGAACGCAGGGAGAACATGCAAACTCCATACAGATATGCCAGTTGACCCAGCCGAGGCTCGAACCTGCGACCTTCTTGCTGTGTGGCGACAGCACTACCAACTATGCCACTGCGTCACCTAGTTCAGTTCAGTGTGGTTTAATTTTTAACTGCTGAAAGTCTAAACACTGAAGAGCAAATCCATCTATGCGCAGCTCCACAAGTCCCCAAAAATAGGATGAATATAGATTACTTGATAAATTGGATGTTCATCAGAGAAGATACGGAAAATAAGTGGCATTTTTGGAGGTTAAATAAGGTCATTGCGGTGAGACGCACGGTAAAGGCGTAATTATCTTATATTATTTATTTATGTATTATTAATATTATTGTTTTAACTATTATTATTTATTTTTGTATGTGTGTTTTTTTTATTTATTGAGTTTATATTATTTATCTGTGATTATTGGATTGATGATAGCACCATCAAATTACTGTAACTGTGCCACTGTTGGGGTGGGGAAAGGAAAGGGGATGTTAAAAGGATGTATAAATGTGTAAACTGATGGTACTGATAATTGTTAAAGAAAATAAAAATTTGAATAATAAAAAAAGAAAATAACACAATTGTGTGTATCTAAAAGCAAAGTTCCAAGTGAAGGCCATTCTTATCATGAAAAAAAGGCAGCCATCTTAAACATCTTCAGAACCGTCAATGATGCTTTTCTTAATGTCAAAGCTGGCATTCAGAGTCATTTTACCTGTCACCAGAAATGCTGTGATTGTCTTTCAGATGCATCATATATAGACCATTTTGAGGGATGTAAACAAAAACAATGCCGCCAACTTATTTCCTATTTTACATTTTTTAATTTTAATGGTTTCGGAAAAATTATTGTATGATAGTTGTTTTGACATTAGGTTATGATTTAATTGCTTCTTGTTACAGTTATGGGCCAATAACATGAGCACATTAAAAAGGTCTATATATATATATATATAGGTTTTTCCTCGTAATACTCTGACAGTAAATAAATAAATATTTGAAACTTTGATATTACATATTCATTGTGTGGATATGGGTATTTATTTAAACATTTTATTTTAATTGAATGGGGATACAAAAATAAGACTTTGCGTCTTTGACCCACATGCAGAATTGTATTTTTAGTTTTAGTAAAGAAAGCTGTTTAAAATATATATAGCTCATTATTTATGCAAACAGCATTACGAGATGCATCACGTTCTGTTCTCTGTCTGTTTCCTACAGGACTTTGTGTTCTACGCCTCTCGCCTGCGCATTAACAAGCGTATCCTGCAGCTGTGCATGGGAAACCATGAACTTTACATGAAGCGCAGGAAACCTGACACTATTGAAGTGCAGCAGATGAAGGCCCAGGCCAGAGAGGAGAAACACCAAAGGCAGATGGAGAGGTGAGGACACACTGTTCAGCGTTATAGAGCCGTGGTCAGATAGAATTCTCACGGTAGAACTTGATTGGCCACAAAATTAAAGTTTAACATAAAATATAAGCAACACAGGCTCATTCTGAAAACGTAGCTCTATATACATTTCTGGAGATCGCCAATTATGTAGCCAGAAGTACTTATGGCTGCATTTCGTCTTTAACACGAACGCTACGGGGTGGTATGCCGTTCCTTTTCGTGCTTGCCAGCTGACCGCTTACCTCCGTATGGACGGCTTTACTGCTGTTACAAGTTCGTCCAGTGGCTCTCAATGTAAGTTGGCAGACTTAAGGTGCAGAGAGGAGTTCACCACGACAGCAGGGTTGAAGTCTAGTGAAGAATGGTTCCAGAAAGCAGATAAAACAATAACAGAAGCCAAAAAAATAAACAAACAAGTAAAAAATATGGTAAAAAATATGGTAAAATCAGAAAGCATGGTAAAAATCAGGTGAAGACTTTTATTTTTCTGGATTGCTTTTCAAAACACTGTCGGTTGAGGGGAGTTGGTGGGCGCTGGTCAATCTGTGCTTTTTAAAGCACTACTGGTTGGGATTAGGGAAGGAGGAAGGTGGGTCAGTCGATCAGTCAGTCAGTCAGTCAGTCAGTCGACAGTAGCCTCTGGTGGATTCATGTGAGAAGAGCAGGCACAAAAGGCACTCGTGAGAGAAATTTGAAATTTCAAAAAGTGCACACGGAGGCCTCTGGTGGATTTGTGAAAACAAAACTGCAAAAAAATATACCTGCTGGGATGTATTTGGCTCTCTCCAGAAATGTTTATTGCGGTACACTTAATCCTCTTACAAAAAACCCAACAGCATTTATTGGACAATTTTGTTCTGACTGTTTTCTTTCTAGAGCCCAATTAGAGAATGAGAAGAAGAAAAGGGAGGCAATAGAGAAAGAAAAGGAGATGGTGGAGAAAGAGAAGCAGGAGATGATGATGAAGCTTTACCAGTTTGAAGAGCAGACCAAAAAGGTTGAGAGAGGTATGAAAATGTGGAGAATCTGTTTTTATATAGCATATGTAAGAATAAAAGTCACAGATATACAGTTAAAAAGCAACTGTTAAATGAAATATAATGTATTTTTTATATTGTTATTATTATAAAACATACATATACACATACAGCTATGGTCAAATTTAGATGAAATGCTTTTACAATATGTATTGTATTCAAGTAACTTAAGTATTTTTTTTTATTCTTCTCATTATTGTTGACTACATTTCCACCAGATTTTCAAAAAGTGTTCACAATTTCACATTTTTAAACAATGCAATACAAATGTTTTAAATTCAAAACATATAAGAAAGCAATATTGGAAAAACAGGAACAGGGTTTGATATCTGTTATTTTTATACAAGTGTCATCTTCAGAAAAAAAACCTTAAATGACAATAGTTTTATTTTAAACTTAGAAGACATGTAATGATAACTTTACAGAATAAAGCAATACTTTACTTAAATCCATTTCTAAAAAAATATATATATATTTTAGGCATATTCTTTTTATATATATATATATATATGTGTGTGTGTATGTGTATATATGGGTATATATATTTAAATTATCATGCAGAATTTTGACAAATGTTTGACCCTGACTGTACAGATACCTGCTTGAATGTTGTATAACTGAGCGTCTGCTGCCCTCTAAAGGTTGATTGTGTGTATTGTTCAGACCTGCGAGAGCAGTTTGAGAGGGCGCGGGTCTTGGAGGAGGAGAGGAGGAAGGTGGAGGAGGAAGCGGCCCGTCTGGAGGCTGAGAGACAGGCAGCTCTGATGGCTAAAGAGGAGCTTGCCAGGCAGGCTGAGGATCAGATGAAAACTCAGGAGCAGCTGGTTAGTGCACACACACACACACACACACACACGCACACACACACACACACACACACACACACACACACACACACACACACACACTTGTATATGTTTTTCTTCACAGGCATAATGTATTTTATACTGTTAAAAGCACATACTATATGGCCTTAACCTACCCATAGCCCTAAAATCAACCCTCAAAGGAATCCTGTGACTTATATTGACTGTCAAAACAGCCTGTTAAGTATGATTTTTTTTTGCCAAGTACAGATGTCATTGTTTATACAGAGATATTTGTTTTATAAACCCACTTCAACAAACCCTAAATACACTGCCCAATATAATGACGGTAATTATAATAAAATAGTGAAGACACAAGAATTTTTTTCAAATTAAGTATCATTTTTAAGCAGTTTTAATTTACAAGGACACAAGGCATGTCCTCGTAAACCCCCTTAAAAGAGTTACTTTACTTATTACACTAGGTCATGCCTATGTCAGGATACAATTTCATCTAACACCAATTTCAAAAAATACTATGAGAATACTTTGTGTATTTTAAAATGAGAAAAGTAGTTTATATGACTTTGAAAGAGCAAATTTTTTAAAGCAATACATTTGTCAAGGTTTCATGCACATATTGCAAAATCAGTCTATATGAATGCACAAGGTCTTGACAATCAAAACAAAAATGCTGCACTACAGTATTCTTTGTGCGGTAGCAATGTTTTTTTACACTAGTGAACAGGGATAATTTAGAATAATTTTTGTGAGTTTATGAAAGTTAAAAAAATCGGAAAAGAAACCTTTTTCATTTCGAGCATATTGTTGTCTGGTAAATGTAACTGTAATCGCTGCTTTCACCAAAATTAATGACAGAGTGCAGATATTGCCACTTACTGGAAAATCCCAAATCAGAACCTGTTCATTAATCAGATAAAACGTACTGTTGAAACACAGGTTTACAGAGATCGCCCCCTAGTAGAAAACAACCTAGTTTTAAAACAAGGTCACTAAAGCTAAACAAATTATTGGCAAAAGTTCATGAAGCAGTGTTTTACCCTTGTGTACTGTTCAAATTGACTATTAATTTAAAAAAAAATGACAAATTTGACCTCTTTTAACAAGGAAAAGCAGCAACAATCAAGAATGCACGATTATATGGTGTCATGACTTGCAATCAAAAAATGTTGTTATAATGGAGGTCAATGGGGCAAAAATGAAAAATGAAAGGGTAGTAGATTGGCCCAAAGTGTATTGTTGAGTTTTTGAAACTTTTCAAAGCATTTTCCCAAAATATTTGTCAAGATAAGGTTTATCAACTAAAACAATCATCCCATTTGCTGTGGCCAAATTAAGACTCAAAATAACTTCAGAGGGGATGAAAACATCCCCAACAGCACACAAGGGTTAATAAGTGCCATCTGCAATCTTAAACTGTGAAAATCGTTGTCACTTTTTGTGTATCTAGCCTGAACTGAAGTAAAATGTACATTTTGATTTTCCATATAGGCAGCAGATCTGGCTGAATACACAGCGAAGCTTGCCTTGCTGGAAGAAGCCAGGAGAATTAAAGAAGAGGAGGCCAACGAATGGCAGAACAGGGTGAGTTTTAAGCATTGTTTCAAGAATTTACACTTAGCTCATGATTTATACATAGCTTATTTGGCATGCTGTCCCGGGAAAGAGCTATGTGTACAATTTGAAAACTTGACACAGCATCTCCAAAAACACACAGAATTATATAGGTGGTATATAGGTTATGTATATTTTCCTATATATTTTATAGGAAAAATAAGTACAATTTGAGTTCACATACCCTGTTTCTATTAAGTACAACACACTTTTTATATATTGAAGTGACATGAACGGATTTAATTTAATTTCTCTGTATGTCTTAACACTACAGCATAAAGTGGAACTATGATTGACTTCTAATAGCCGACCCCTTGATTTCACTCAGGCTAAAGAGGTGCAGGATGATCTGGAAAAGACCCGTGAGGAGCTGCACAATGTGATGGCGTCTCCTGTGGCCGCTGCGCCCATGGCTGCGTCCATGGCTGCACCCATGGCGGCCCGGGCCATGATGGAGGAACCGCTGGAGAACGACCATGAGGATCACGAAGAGAACAACAGCACCTACAGCGCCGAGCTGCCTGTGGAGGGAATCGAGGACCACCGTAACGAGGAGGAGCGGATCACAGAGGCTGAGAAGAACGAGCGCGTGCAGAAACAGCTCATGGTAACACATGCTATGTGTCTACTCACAAATCTCTGCCAGTAGTTATTCTAAAACAAAACTATAAAATAATAATAATAATAATAATAATAATAATAATAATGGATCCTGATTTGATCATTGATTTTGTGTTATTGAATGTTTTTTTTTTTTTTTTTATGGGTCATGCACATATTTTTACATTTTGTTTACAAGGACTTATTAGCCTTAAAGGGTCACGATACCCTTCTGTTTCAGCAGGGTGTTTTCACACCTCTAGTTTGGAAAAAGTGAGGAAAGTGGGTGTGTCTAGCTCTGTTTAGGGGGGAGTGTCGGAGGAGGGAACGAGGGAAGGTGCATAAAAATTTGCATAAAAATGGGAGTTTCGGTTTGGGCATATGCTGATTTTCACAGATGCAAAACAAACACGTAGGGCTCTATTTTGACGGTCCATGCGCAGAGCGCAAAACGCAGTGCGCAAACGCTTTCAGGGCGTGTCAGGACGCGTTTTTGCTAATTTAAGGAGGGGAAATCTGCCTTGCGCCGTGGCGCATGTTCTTAAAGGGTTGAGTTTATTTTCTTAATGAGTTATAGGTGTGTTTTGAGAATAAACCAATTACAGTCTCATCTCCCATTCCCTTTAAGAGTCAGCTGCGTTGTGCCAAGAGCGCATTCACTATTTACAGGACGCAAAGTAAGTCTAAGTGGAAAAAATGAGCATTTCACAAGCAAACAGTTAACAGTTAACAGCTTTTTAACAGAAAACTGTTAAACAGAGCATCTACTGCGTGAGAATGAGAGATAATGGATCACTTTCACTTTCGCTCTTGGATAGGGAAACCTTTACGCACAGACATCAATTAGTCTATAAATAAATACTTTTGTTTGTTAAGCGCAAATATTCGTTTCAAAACTATTTCTAAATTCAGTTCTAATTTCCAGCAAAAAAATTAATGAACAATAATAACAAAGTGTGCTCAAAAACTAAGTTATATCACAAAACACATGCTGTGCCCCATATGATCTAAAACCTGACAGGTGGGCAAATCTAAGCTTGTTTTTAATAAAACAAATATAAATATGAAAAAAATAAATAATACTGCTAATAATAATAACATTATACAAAAGCAAATTGTTATGAATGAACTGAAAAAGCCTCCCGAGATGAAAAAGACATAAAAGCAGTGATTTTTCATATTTATGTAGGCTAGAAAATAATATGTTTTGTAATATTTTAATTCTTTATATTTATATTCTATATTCTTATTATATCCTATATATATCCTTAATATTTACATTTTTTCATATGTAAAGATATTTGCCTATTGCTCTCTTGTGCGTATTAAGCAGTGTGTAAGTGAGGCGCAACTCTGCGCCGGAGTTTAGACCGGGTTAGTTTTGGTCTAATGAAAAATCTATTATAGTTTCTCAAAAAAGCAACGCACCAGCAGTGCGCCTCAGAACGCCTTCCTTTTTAGACCAGAACGCCTATGGGCGCACATATGAGCTCTAATGCATTTGCTATTTAAACAGCGTAGCGCAACGCCTCAAAACGACTCTTGTGCCAAGCTGAAACTACCAAAAGACTACTGTGCCGCGTCTTGCGCCACACTGCGCCGGGTGTATGATAGGACCCACAGAGACGCAGGGTTGAAAGACAGTGACTGTGTTTACATGGAGTTCAGTAATCAAATTATTTGCCAAATTATTAAATGGTGGACTTTAACTGCAGTTTGGTACTTTCATTCAGGAACATTTCATTCATGCCCCAAGTGAAAAACGAGATATTTGATTCGAGGAGCTGCTGGAAGCGTGTATTTTTAATCCAATGTTTGATACCACACAATGAATGAGAGAAAAAAAAACCTCTGCATTTCTCGGTAATTTAGATGCACTCGGTAGGTAGCTCAGAAAGCCGTGTGTGTTATTACTGTCACAAAATAAGGCGAAAATTCTACACGACGGTAATAGTTTGATGGCGGTGTTTACATGTTTTCACTCGAAGAGCTTTCTTTCTGTAACATATGCAAATAACACTTCCATGGATGGGAGATTATGATCTGTCTTAATTGATTTGTTCACGTAATTGCTCAGTGACTTTTTCTGTAGTTTACATGAACACACCAGATAATGAACGTTTTATCTGACGTCATCGCATGTTATTTTGACAGATTAAGGTCAGAAACTCAACACTGATTTACAGCTGACATAAAATCCTTCATGTAAACACCTGTATCGATCTGAATGAGCTCGATTAATTGATTTTTGTGTTTGTGCAATAGTTTCCTCAGTGTGCGATTGACAGATATTTAGTTTGTTTACGCATTTGAATTGCATTATGAGACATTGATCTCCGCTCTGACAACTTTTGATGTTATAAAGGATTTGTCCAATTATTTTATTGACATTTTTACTAGTCTATAATGATATATTGTCTTGGTTGATGATGTAAATTATGGTATGAAACAGAGGTCAGTAGTTTTTTTGTTATTGTAGTATTTCTGTATTATTATTTCTTAAACAATAGATTGTTTTAAATGACAAAGTATATCAGCAATAGTCATTTTGATACTGCAGATTTAAAGTTCAACTTTTAACATTAAAATTGAGCGACGCAGATCAATTCAAAAGCACAAATAGGGGTGTTCGGTTCCAGGTTTTTTGGAGTCGACTCCCATTCTCGATTCCTTATTTTGGAGTCGACTCCGAAGTTCACTCCATTTACATTCCCTTAAAATAGTGCAAGGATTAAACATGCTCATATCGCGCTTTACATAATGCCACCGCATCAATTGCAGCTTAACATTGTGCAGTTCTCCTCTGGTCAGACAAAACCAGCCGTAAATCATCTGCACTCAAAAAAATAAAATAAAAATAAAAATAAAATAAAATTCAGTTTTTATTTTTATTTAAAAAGTCAGACCTAGTTTTTGAACATTTAACCTAGGCTATATTTTTATTTAAAAATCCTCTTTTGCAAACTAATTTCGTTTGGTATAATTTTGATGTATTTTTGTAGTTATTTACAATATAAACAGATGAATGAATTAGAGGTGAAATTAAGTGCATTCAGGGCCAAAACAAAACCACGACCACATGTAGCCTTTTGTCAGATTTTGTGACAATAAGTAAATCTTGGCTACTTTTGTCATTATGGTTAGTGTTTTTTATTTCTTTATTTCATTCATTCATTTTCTTGTCGGCTTAGTCCCTTTATTAATCCGGGGTCGCCACAGCGGAATGAACCGCCAACTTATCCAGCAAGTTTTTACGCAGCGGATGCCCTTCCAGCCACAACCCATCTCTGGGAACCATACATACACACACTCATACACTACGGACAATTTAGCCAACCCAATTCACCTGTACCGCATGTCTTTGGACTGTAGGGGAAACCGTAGCACCCGGAGGAAACCCACGCGAACGCCGGGAGAACATGCAAACTCCACATAGAAACACCAACTGAGCCGAGGATCGAACCAGCCACCCAGCAACCTTCTTGCTGTGAGGCGAACGTGCTACCCACTGCGCCACTGCGCATATACAGCCAATAGCCTAACATAACATCATATTTTTACCTGCAGTGCTAATTTCGATTTGATGTCGATCCGCCAATATCCGATCTGCTCCAAAATACATATAGGCTATATTTCATTTATAACACGGCAAGCTTGACATCACAGGCAGATCCAAACCAAAATGCTTTAAAACCAAAATGCAAAAGGGGTAAGTGCTTTATAGGAATTTGAAACTGAAAGCAAACTTCATCCGTTAGCATTATAGGCATTATTATATTCAATTCAATTCAATTCAGCTTTATTTGTATAGTGCTTTTACAATGTAGATTGTGTCAAAGCAGCTTCACATAAATGGTCATAGTAACTGGAACAGTGTGGTTCAGGTTTTAGTGTTTAAGTTCAGTTCAGTTCAGTTTAGCTCAGTTCAGTGTGATTTAATCATTACTGAGAGTTCAAACACTGAAGAGCCAATTCATCGATGCGTATTGATTATATAACATAATAGCCACTATACAGTATAATAGCCTAATGCTCGTGGTGGCGAAATTCAAAAGCAAAAGCGTAAATAGTCTGATCACGCATTTAAAGCGGGTGCCTTCGCATCGTGCTCGAGAATGAGCATTATAACTGCAGAATGTAACTGCTTCTTTCAGGAGGATTTGAAAAACCAAACTCGACTCTGGGAGTCGATTCCTGTCCTGGAGTTGACACCAGTACATGGTCCACTGAGAGTCGAGAAATCGATCCCTTGGCCCAAATAACACCCATGAATCACAACTGATCTCTTTTTTTCTCTTTTCTGTGTATTAACTCCATTATTCTCTCTGTCAATGGCTTTGGATGAGATTCAGAACTACATATAAAACATTTATTTTTGGTTTTCTGTAATTGGCATTGTGACTGACTGTCTGTTGAATTGTTTTTAGGCTCTGAGCTCTGAGCTGGCTGAGGCCCGAGACAACACCAAGAAGACCCAGAACGACATCCTGCACAGTGAAAACGTACAGGCCGGGAGGGACAAGTACAAGACGCTCCGCCAGATCCGCATGGGCAACACCAAGCAGAGAATAGATGAGTTTGAAGCCTTGTAATGCCTGATAAATGCCCCAATAAACCTCAAGCACCGGCAGCAACCCGCTGTCCAAGGGGGGAGTTTATCTAATTGCCACACATGGTCCCGCTTTGTATTTGCCACTGAAATGACTGGATTATTTACACAGTCTGTAAACACGACACCTTTTTTAACATACATGGGAAGCGTACTTTGCTGAAATGATGTGCTTGTTGTTAAAGAACACTCTTGACATCCTATTTATGCTAATTGTGCCAAAGATTTTGGCTTGAGAAATCTTGTCATCTTTTATGGGAGTGTTTAAAATGTGTCTACCTTTTTAAAGGGACAGTTCAGCCTAAACTGAATATTCCGTCATCGTTTAGTCACCCATTACAAATGTATATGATTATTTTTAGTTGTTGTCGTTGATTACGAAGTAGTTCAATTAGTTCTTCCAAATATTTTCTTTTGTGATTTTTTTGTTTTTGTTGAATACAAAAGAAGTTATTTGAAAAATGCTGAAAATCTAGAACCATTGACTGCCATAGTATTTGTTTTTTTCCTACCATGGAAGTCAATGTGGCGGTTCATTCCTCGGTTCATTTTTCTGAAATAGAGACTAAGCCAAAGGAAAATGATAGAATGAATTAATTAATGAATGTGTCAATGGTTACCGGTTTCCAACATTCTTCAAAATATCTTCTTTTGTGTTGAACAAAATAAGTTTTTGGTTGTAAAATACAAAAGAAGCTCTTTTGAAAAATGCTAAAAACATGTAACCATCAGCTTCCATAGTATTTGTTTTGTCCTTTTATGTAAGTCAATGGTTACTGGTTTCCAACATTCTTCAAAATATCCTCTTTTGCATTTAACAAAAGAAGTTTTTTGTTGTAGAATATTAAAGAAGTTATTTTGAAAACTGCTAAAAACCTGTAAGTATTGACTTCCATAGTATTTGTTTTTTTTCCAACTATGTAAATCAATGTGGCGATTCATTCCGCTGTGGCGACCTCTGAAATAGAGACTAAAGCGGGTTACATACTGGATGTGCCGCTCGGCGGCGCAACAGGGTGTGCACATGACAGTTAGAAGTATCACACACCAGACGCGCACATTCGGATGTTATTTAAAATAAAAGTATTTAGATGACGCTCTGTGGCGTGGCAGAAACAAGTGTCCTGAGTCGTGGCTGAGCAGGTGTGTACCCTGATAGAAACTTGTTTAAAATTAAAATGCATGGCGTTGCGTGGCGCCGCCGAGTGGTGATTCTGGTGTGTGACCCCCTTAAGCCGAAGGAAAATAATAGAATGAATAAATAAATGAATGTGGCAATGGTTACCAGTTTTCAGCATTCCTAAAAATATCTTCTTTTGCTTTCAATAAAGGACACTGTTTGTTATAGAATACAAAATAATTTATTTTGAAAATGCTAAAAAACCTTTAACCATTGACATCCATAATATTTGTTTTTTCCTTCTATGGAAGTCAATGATTACTGGTTTCCAACATTTTTTAAATTATCTTATTTTGCATTCAACACAAGATGTTTCTTGTTGTAGAATACAAAAGAAGTTATTTTGAGAAGTGCTGAAAACACGTAATCATTGACTTCTTTAGTATTTGTTTTGTCCTAATATGGAAGTCAATGGTTACTGGTGTCTAACATTCTTCAAAATATCTTCTTTTGCGTTTAACAAAAGAAGTTCTTTTGTTGTCATAGAGTACAAAAAAAGTTATTTGAAAACTATGTAAGTCAATGTAGTGGTTCATTCCGCTGTGGTGACCTCTGAAATAGAGACTAAGCTAAAGGAAAATGATTGAATGAATGAATAAATGTAAGTCAATGGTTACCAGTCTCCAACATTCTTCAAAATATCTTGTTTTGAATATTTTGTTGTAGAATACAAAAAAAGCAATTTTGAAAAATGCTGAAAACCAGTAATCATTGACTTCTATAGTATTTGATTTTTTTACTAATATGGAAGTCAAAGGTTACCGGTTTCCAACATTCTTCAAAATGTTTTGCGTTCAACAAAAAACTTTTTTTTGTCATATATTACATATTAGAAGTTGTTTTCAAAAATGCTGAAAACCCGTAACCATTGACTTCCATTGTATTCGTTTTTTTTTTTTTTCTCTCCTACTATGGAAGTCAATGGTAACTGGTTTCCAGCATTCTTTAAATTAACTTCTTTTGCATTCAACAAAAGATGTTTCTTGTTGTAGAATACAAAAGAAGTTATTTCGAGAAGTGCTGAAAACCTGTAATCATTTACTTCTATAGGATTTGTTTTGTTCTGATATGGAAGTCAATAGTTACTGGTTTCTAACATTTTTCTAAATATCTTCTTTTGCGTTTAAAAAAATATTATTATTATTACTATTTTTTTTTTTTTACATTTTTTTTTTTTGCCATAGAGTACAAAAGAAGTTATTTGGAAAACTATGCATCTTGAGTCTGCAAGTCAATGTAGTGGTTCATTCCGCTGTGGTGACCTCTGAAATAGAGACTAAGCCGAAGGAAAATGAGTGAATGAATGAATGAATGTATGTCAACGGTAAGTCAATGGTTACCGGTTTCCAACATTCTTCAAAAGATTTTGTGTTCAACAAAAGACATTTTTTTTCATCATAGATTACACAAGAAGTTGTTTTGAAAAATGCTGAAAACCCGTAACCATTGACTTCCATTGTATTTATTTTTCTTCCCTACTATGGAAGTCAATGGTTACCGGTTTCCAACATTCTTCAAAATATCTTCTTTTGCGTTCAACAAAAAGAAAGACATTTTAAAAGGTTTGAAACCACTTGAGGGTGAGTAAATAGTGAGTACATTTTCATTTTTGGGTGAACTATCCCTTTAAGATCTTTGCATTCTTCAGAATGTGACGCAGCTTTGTTTTGTGTCATATAAAGCACATCGCTTCCTCATAAAATGCAGCATTAAATGTTTTAAAAAGCTGAAAGGGACAAATCCAGAAAAAAAGGGGGCAAATATAACATTGCAGATAATTATCTAAACATCAGTGTGATCAAATAGTGGCCATAACAAACAAGTAAGTGGATCTTAACCGAGCTTGATTCAAGAAATGCTGCATAGTAAATTAGATTTGTATATTTTCTATGTAATATTTTGGAATAAATCTATGAGATTGATTTAAATGACAATTGCTGTTCTGTTGATGAGGAAAATGGATGTTTTGTGGCAATTGTTTCAAATGAGAGGGAATAAAAAGTGCAATCAAGTTTGACTAAACAGGGGCACAATGTCTTGAATGGCGGAAAGGTTTGCGTTGTCTGTTTACTCAGATGTCCTCCATTTATGCTCTGGCCATTAAAACAACTACAGTTTCATTCGCTGATGCGCAGAGAGGCTGTTATAGGAAAATTGTTATGCAAAGGGTGCGCTAGCATGGGTCCACAAAGACCACTGATATTTACTCAAGGACTAGAGCGTTAATTACGTTGCTAGACAACTGTTTATGAAGCCTGGAAACGCTTTGCTGAAATATGCAGAGGGTCGGCTGCGCGGGGTCAGGGTTACTGCTCCAATAGACAACCCTTTAGCCATCATTAGCTTCACTGAAGGAGTTCTATGAAACGTCCAATAAAAACAATTCCATTGACTACTGACTTCCACTGATATCAGAAATAATTGGAGGGATTGATTTTTTAGTTAGTTATTTGTTCTTGAAAAGGGCTTGGACGTTGTTTAGGACTTATTTTCATTACGATTAGACACTTTCAATGACATCGATTCATTAAGTTCAACTGATTAAAAATAAGGACAAATTATTGATTATAACTTTATTTATTGGTTATTAGTTCACTATATATTATGTTTTTTCTAAATTCAGGATTATGTCCATGTTCAGTTTTTTTGTGGCCACAAATGATGGTCTTAAGAGCCCAGTTTATAATTATGATTATTGTCAGGTTAAAAAACAAAAAAAACAAAACAAAAGAAATGCTTTACTTAAGAGTGTTTGTCTTGTTTCTAGTCCAGATATCTTTATGGATTGTTAATAATGACAATGCAGGGAAACAACAATACTACATTCAGCAAATGACAAACCCAGACTGAAACAAAGAGGGCTTACTGTATTTACAAAGGAAAAACGAGGTAAAGAAGCAGGTGGAGACAGTTAATCACCAGGGTAACTAATAAGAGTGTGGTCTGTATTTTTTTCATACAAATAAAAAACAATTGTATACATTATATCATTAATAACACAAATTATATGCAATTATACACTCACCGGCCACTTTATTAGGTACAACCACTTGTAAATGCTAATTTCTAATCAGCCAATCACATGGCAGCAACTCAATGCATTTAGGCATGCAAACATGATCAAGATGATCTGCTGCAGGTCAAACCGAGCATCAGAATGACGAAGAAAGGGGATTTAAGTGACTATGAACCTGCCAGATGGTCTGGTCTGAGTTTTTCAGAAACTGCTGATCTTCTGGGATTTTCACACACAACCATCTCTAGGGTTTACAGAGAATGGTCTGAAAAAGAGAAAATATCCAGTGTGCGGCAGTAATAGAAAAATAGAAAGGCAACAGTGACTCAAATAACCACTCGCTACAAATGAGGTATGCAAAAGAGCATCCCTGAACGCACAACACATCCAATCTTGAGACAGATGTTCTACAGCAGCACAAGACCACACCGGGTGCCACTCCTGTCAGCTAAGAACAGGAAAATGAGGCCATAGTTCGCACAGGCTCACCCAAAATTAGACAATAGAAGATTGGAAAAACGTTGCCTGGTCTGATGAGTCTCGATTTCTGCTGCAACATTCGGATGGTAGAGTCAGAATTTGGTGTCAACAACATGAAAACATGTATCCATCCTGCCTTGTATCAATGCTTCAGGCTGCTAGTGGTGGTGTAATGATGTTGGGGATATTTTCTTGGCATACTTTGGGCCAATTAGTACCAATTGAGCCTCGTGTCAACACCACAGCCAACCTGAATACTGTTGCTGACCATGTCCAGCTCTTTATGACCAGGATAACGCTCCATGTCATAAAGCGTGAATCATCTCAGACTGATTTCTTGAACATGACAATAAGTTCACTGTACTCAAATGGCCTCCACAGTCATCAGATCTCAATCCAATAGAGCACCTTTGGGATGGGGAGTCAAAAGGGAGTCCAACCCGGTACTAGTAAGGTGTACCTATTAAAGTGGCCAGCGAGGGTATGTGTTTCTCTAATGTGTTCTGTCTGTTTATAATTAAATAATACATACAGCAAGGGAAAGACAAAAAGACCCATTTGAATGTGTTCAAGTAATTTTTTTTTATCCTGTAAATGACTGAATATAAATGTAAAATGCTGACCGTTTATTATTTGTCATTATTTGCATTACTTTTTTAAAAAACACAATACAAATTATTTTGAAGAACACTTAAAAAGCAATCAGAAATCAGTATTTGATGTATTACACAAAATGAAAACATTTGTTATCCCATTTTGACTAAAAAGTTGTTCATGTGACTAATATTCTAACAGATATTATAACAGATTGTAATTTATTATATGAAGGAATCATAATCAGTCCCTTATAGAATAAAACACATATTAACATTTTACTCAAACCCATTCTGACAAATCCAGAGAATTTTCAAGTGTCGTTTTAATTTCTTGATATATGTCTGTCACATTTTCTCAAAAATAACATAAATTGCAAAAGAAGGTACAGCCTGATTTATAGCAATCTGTGTTTTCATTAAAAGCCTTTAACACCTACTGGAAAAGTGAACTAAGGCTCATTATTAAACTATTATTTTTACAATAACAGTGGGTTCTGTTAAGAACTGTTCTCGGAAAAACTTCTCTAGGGAGACCAAAGCAGATCACTGCAAAGACTCCTCTCGTAAATTGAATCGATTTTAAAAAGTGACATATTTTCAGTAATCACTTGATAATTACAACGTCAAATAATCGATAACACATCACAGTATACAAACCTCCATCCTCCCCTCGGTTTAGAAGAAGTGAACTCTCGGGAAACAGAAGGAGGAATTGCCCATATAAGGTGTGAGTATCGGTCTCTGGGGGTGGTGCTGAAAGAACAGCTCCCACTAAACACACTTCTTTTAATAGCGGTTCCTTGTGGCAGCTTATTTTCAGGAGACCCTCAGCTGGAATGACTCTCGCTGCCAAGAGCTACAAGCCATGAATCAGGAAAGTTCCCATGCCCGAGCCGGAGCTTTGAAAACTGAGGGATATTTTGAGGCGACTATGAGAAGATGAAGAGGCAAAACGTGCGGACACTCGCCTTAATCATCTGCACTTTGTCCTATTTGCTCATCGGAGCGGGAGTTTTCGACGCTCTCGAGTCAAAGCAAGAGAAAAGCCAGAAGGGCAGACTCGACTACCGCAAATTCCTGCTCATGCATAAATACAACCTCACCAGGCTTGACTTTGATCAGATTGAGAAGGTCGTGTTGCTCCTGAAGCCCCACAAAGCAGGAGTCCAGTGGAAGTTCTCCGGGTCTTTCTATTTCGCCATCACTGTGATAACAACCATAGGTAAATCTTAGAGTTGACTTCATTTGTTATCACTGTAGTTTTATTCTATTTTATAGTTCATGTTTGCATTAGGTGTCTTCTTGTAGTTTTATTTTACTGTTTGCTTCACAATAATGTGTTAATTAAGAACAGTTTAGATCATATTTCAAGACGAAACGTATTCTCTGAGAGGAAACATTCTTATGTTTGCGCGAGGAAATATGTTATATATACTTTTTTATGCACGAATAAACGCATTTGTTTATTCATTAGACTTAACATTATCTTATCATGTGTGGAACACTATTTTGTGCTCGTGTCGGTAGAACTGACCACTATTATCGTATTTTACGAGCTATAAAGCCGACATTTAGTTTTCATCTGAAGCACCTCGGTTATTGGCAGCATATTGTACAACAAACAGAAAGCAAACACGTTATATGCCTTTTTAAATCAATATGAAGTGTACTACGGAAAATATGTTTGGGAAGTCGACAATACTATACAATTAAATTGGTTGTAAAACTGAAAAACACAATTAAATTGAAATAGCTTAAGGCATAAATGATTTCCAAGTAATATGTGAGGTAAAACATGAAGAAAAACACCCCATACCGGCATCACTGGAGTGCTTAATCCTGTGTTACAGTTCATGGTGATGATGATGTTGGTCATTGCTTCCGGTGGATTAATTCAAAAATGGTCATGGGCTATTTTTAGAAGAGCACACTACAAAATGCTAATGTATGTTAAGTCTGTCTTCTCTGAAGACAATGCAAAATTACCTCCAACCCCTATGTTTCGTTTAAAAAAACCCAGATTGCTTTTAGTAGTTCAAAATCTGAATTAAATTACTTTTACTACCATTATTATTATTATTATTATTATTATTGTTATTATACAACCTAGTACAACAACCAGTGGATGGTTATTAAATTTGATTAACTCAATTTTTTCTCTCCCGATGTATTTTGGTCAGGTTTATCTTAAACTATAGTTATGATTTACATAGTCTATTGGGTTTGGTTAAGCTCAACAGAACATTTTATTTATTTATTTAATAATTTATTTATTTATTTATGGGTTAATTATCATCGTCTAGTCCACATAAAAGCAAAAACAGAGATACTGTAATGCGAACATGGCTACATAACAGCTGATAATAAATCACAAACAATTAAATCTTCTTCCCAGTATTGGGTTGCAGCTGGAAGGGCATCCGCTGTGTAAAACATATGCTGGAATAGTTGGCGGTTCATTCCCCTGTGGTGACCCCTTATTAATTAAAGGACTAAGCCGAAGGAAAATGAACAATGATGAATTGAATCTTCATTGCCCTAATTTTCTTGTTGAAAACTTAATCTGTGAGTTTTTTAGTATCCTGATATTGAGAGCCATGCAAACAAAGCTCCAACAAATCTCCAGGCTAATGCCGTATTAGTCTGCCCTCATTGGGGAGTTTACTGCATCGTCATAACAAAATTGGGATGGTTAAGTGCAACGAATGTTAGTAATAATATTTACAGGATGCAAAAGAACATCCTGTACAAATAAACCCGGGGGGTGTGAGCGTTTGATGAAGAGTCAATTGACTGGACTGTTTACCACATAAAAATGTTATTCTGACTTATTAAGAGGTTGTTTAACTGACATACCTCAGGGAGCAATAATATTAGTCTAAATTGTAAATCTCACATTCTGGAGAACCAAAGACCTACGATTGCTTACTCATACAAGAGCAAGTTGGTTAGTAGGTCTTGGCTGTACTGTTCTACAGACCTGATCTTCAAATGAACATTGAATATTTTATTAATTGATACTGCTAAGAAAATGATCAGGAGTGTGTTTCTGAAAACCCTCGTTAGCCAAGTAAGGTCGCAAGTTCCGTCATTACAAACATAGTTCATTAATTTGGTGTTTAAAATAGATATTCTATTTCCGATTGCCCACTGAATATTTATGCACAGAGAATGTAAACATTTATTATTCAGTCATTTATTCATTTTTTTTCAGCTTAGTCCCTTTATAAACCAGGGGTTACCACAGCAGAATGAACCGCCAACTTATCCAGCAAATGTTTTACGCATCAGATGCCCTTCCAGCTGCAACCCATCACTGGGAATACTTTTATCATATATTTTTTAATGATTAATATTATCATTTAATTCAGATCAAAGCAAACTCATTCATTTATTCATTTTCTTTTTGGCTCATTCCTTTCATAAATCAGGGGTTACCACAGCGGAATGAGCCGCCAACTTATCCAGCATATGTTTTACGCAGCAGATACCCTTCCAGCTGCAACCCATCACTGGGAATCAAAGCAAACCTTTTCTCACTATTTAAATTGCTGACCCCATACACACTAGTTTTGAAGTCCTTCAGGGGGAATCAAGCTTTGATTAGTTGGGGGTCAAACCTGGCTCAAACCATTTATAGTCCACTCCAAAGTTGCTTTATGATGCTCTACAAGCATGGGTGGGCAACTCTGTTCCCCCAGATCCACTTTCTCTCAGATTTTAGCTCTAAATCTAATCAAACACATCCAAACAAACCAACTGAGGTCTTCAGAATCACCAAAAAGCCCAGGTTTGACCACCACTGGAGTGAAACACTAGTGGATATAGTGGATATAGTTGTCCAGCTCTGATCTAAACATACGTCCACTTATCTTGTCCTCCTTTTTTCCCAAGGTTATGGCCATGCCGCCCCCAGTACGGATGCCGGTAAGGCATTCTGCATGGGGTATGCACTTCTGGGCATCCCCCTCACCCTGGTGATGTTCCAGAGCCTGGGCGAACGCATTAACACCTTCGTCCGCTTCCTGTTGCACAAAGCCAAGAAATGCATGGGCCTGCGGCGGCCGGAAGTCTCCATGGCCAACATGGTGATCATCGGCTTTTTCTCCTGCGTCAGCACCTTGTGCATAGGAGCAGCTGCCTTTTCCCACTACGAAGGTTGGACCTTTTTCCATGCCTTCTACTACTGCTTCATCACCCTCACCACCATCGGTTTTGGCGACTACGTAGCCCTACAAAAGGACAACGCTCTCCAGAACGACCCTCATTATGTGGCCTTCAGTTTTGTCTACATTCTGATGGGCCTCACAGTCATCGGTGCTTTCCTCAATTTAGTGGTGCTACGCTTCATGACCATGAACACAGAGGACGAGAGAAGAGATGCCGAGCAGAGAGCGCTGCTCTCCAAAGATAAACACCAAGGTCCAGTATTACGCCGTGCAGAACCTCCGAGCCCATCCGCTGTGGGCCGAGACAAAAGACGAGGGCTGAAGAGCGTCTACGCCGAGGTGCTCCACTTCCAGACGGTGTGCTCCTGCCTGTGGTACAGAAGCCGAGAGAAATTGGTCATCCTCCCACAGGATCTGTCATTCACTGATGCGCTTATGGAGCAAGGAGATGTATCGCCCCATCACTTCTTCGAAAACGGCCCTACGGGCTGCGTGTGTAACCCTCAACGCTGCTCGGCCATTAGCACTGTGTCTGCTGACCTGAGAAACATCTCGCCGTTCAGGCTCTTCTCCAAAAGACGCAGCTCTGTCTGAATCACCTCACTTTCTTACACAGTCCTGTAGATCTTTATTGAGTCACATGATTTATTTTCACATTATGAAATGCTTGAATGAACCACTCAAGACTGAGTCTTCTTACACAAACACATCTATGCTCTATAAACACTTTGGATGTTGATATTCTTCAAATTTACACCTTAAAATGGTGCAATAGACTTACAATCATTTTAAAATATAGTCTGCCCAAAAAAAGTCTGATGTGGAATATAAGTGTAAGCTGTTCGTCTGAAATGCTTATGGTGTTAGTGTCGTGAATGTGTTCATTTCATTCGTTTCAGCCGTATTTGTCTTTGCATTCTAGGATGTTCACAACTGAACTAAGAACTGAACTGCCTTTGGAATACCAATTTAAGCATTTTCTCACCCAAAAATTTGAATTCAGCCATTAGTTACTCACCCTCGTGTCAATCAGATTCCCTTTCTTTTATCTTCAGAACACAATTTAAGATATTTTGGATAAAATCCAGGAGCAAAGGTCCAGAGACGTTCATAGTCCAAAAAAGGAAGCGAAAACATTGTCAAAACATTCCATTCAGCTTCAGCGGTTCTACTGTAATCATACAAAGCCCCATCAAGCAACATTTTGGAACGACATGAAGGTGAGAAATAAATCAATGACAATATTTTTATTTTTTTGCAAGCTACACTTGACTAGATTTAGCATCCACTCATAAAACTGGTGATGGAAATCGTGGCACTGGACGATGTGCACCAAGCTACTCAGGCAACCAGCAGTTTTGCAAGTAAACCAAAGTTTCACGGGCAATGCATAATAAAAGTCCTCCATCTCATATTTTCCTACACTGTAAAACCCAACAGTCAACTTTATCAAGTGAAATGAGTGTAGTTAACTCAAAATTGACTGAAAGTTGATTCTACTCATTTGAAAAGAGTTTTAAACTCAGTTTCTGAAGGTAATGAGTGCATTAAATACCTCATTGCTTCAACTTAAATGGAGTAAGTTCACAGTACTCATAGATTAGTTCAATGGTTCTCAAAGTGGGGGTCGGGACCCCCCGAGGGGTCGCGGGACAATGAAGAGGGGGTCGCCTGGTGGTTTCCAAAAATCTATTTATTTTTATTAAACCATAAGAATTACCATATTTGATCCATAAGCTTCTGAAGATAAAAAATTGTCGTTTATACCATATATAGTTACTATAGTAGCTTATAGTTACTACTTCTATTGGATTGCAACCCCTGGGGTAATTACATTGTATTAAAGACGCAGCAATAGCGTCAGATGCAGCAGATTTCATAACACCCGGTTAAACTTTGTGGCCCATTTCCAGATCTCATACATTAAAAAATTAAAAGAAGAATAGACTTGGGTCCATTGGTGTGTGTGCGCCATTGCATGCAAGGTTTCTGTATTTATAACCACCTCAGAGGATATTGGGGGTCACGAGTCACTGGCATTGACATTTTGGGGGTCGCGGCCTGAAAAGTTTGGGAACCCCTGGATTAGTTCAACTCAAATGGTTTGTAGCAATCGATTTCCTCAAATGGTTTAAGATGCCTTTACTTATTGGGTTTTACAGTACTCAGTTGGTTTAAATTTTCTTGATTTGTTTTAGATTTTACTGTACTCAAATTGCTTCATTTACTCGAATCGAGTAAGTTAACAGTACTCATTAGGATTAGTTTTTGAGCTTAAATAGTTTGTAGCAATCAGTTTCCTCAAACGGTTTGAGTTACGTTAACGTTTTTGGGTTTTACAGTGTACTACCGGTTTCATTCTCCCTGCATGATAAGCATTTTTAATGCTTAGAGGTGTGGCCTTTAGTTGTTGAACTAAATCAAACACCCTTTATTAAATATTGTGTGAAACGATGAGAGATATTATTGCCAGACTGTACCCTTTCACTGTAATGTCCCACCTACAATGCTAGACGTCAGTGTAACCAGCAAAATGAAACACCTATCAGGTATTTGTGGATCCAGATGGCATATCGACATGACTCCCGCTCTTCGCCCAGCTCTGTACGGCATGATAAAACAATAATCTGACCTTTTGAAACCTACTAAAGTACATTATCCCGATGGAGGTCACATGGAGTGATAAAAATAAGCAGATTGGCTAGGGTATAACTGGGACAGAGTTGTCTATCTATGAGCGGAAAGTGTATAAAACTCTTGAACACGAGGAATTTAATTACTCTTGATGTTGAGCACATAAATGTCAGCTTTGAAGATGAAGTATAAATATGACCTTGGTCTGAACTTGAGCTTGAAGAAAAACAGCATTTATCCCATACGGGCCCTCCGAGTGCTTTCAGCACCGATCTGGACGTCATGTTCTGTGTGTCCCCCGTGACTCAAAGAGGCCTTGCTGCTCAGGCTATGTTTGGCCCACACAGGAGAGTGTGCCATCATCACATCCTGCCAAGGAGAAAGCGCTTTGTGCCCAAGACTTTGCCTTCAGCTATTAAACCTGCATGACACGGTGACAGAAGGAACGCCATTACGACAAATGCCTGTATTGCCCCCCCATGGTGGCGGCATCTGTTGCTTTTCCTTCTAGATTTTTTTTTGGGATTGGCATCTACATTCATGTGAAAGCTAAAATTTATCTTTGGCAAGCAGGCCAATGGGAATGGGACAGAGTGTACATTTATGTTTCTATTATTGTCCTTTCTATAAAGGAACAAGGGTAAAAGTAACTCATTGTTGATTAGAGTGATAATAAAAAAGAACAGTATGGAACAAAATCAATGCCAAAAGTCTTGAATTAAAAAGCTTGTTGAATATCACAAACTGAAAAAAATAATACACCGTATTAACAAGTTCTTGCATTTTTATGACTTGAATTCCAGGGTTTGTATTTTTAGGTCCTGAAATTTAACATATCTGTATATTTAAGCTTTGAATATTTTAACAAAAAATATTTCAAACACGTTTTAAAATTCAACATTACATCCGGGAACTGCAGGAAAAGCAATAGACTGCAGAGTGAAGATCGCCAGCTGCTCTAGCTTTCACCAGCAGGTGGAGATGGAATAATGTAAGATTTTTAACCCAGTAAACAGGCGATAAAAAGGCTATTAAAGGCACAAAAGTAGCATTTAATATTAATATCAATGCTTTGGACATTATAAATGATAAAAAGTATGAGTAAAATGAGTAAATGAGGTTTTAGTCATCTATATTTGCCCTTATGTAACGGAAGCCAGCTGGTGATCGCGTAAAGCTCACTCCTCGGATCCAGGGACAGTTGTTCTGCAATCTTATCGGAGCTTGTCTCCCATGCTGGCTCGTTACCTGCTCGGACCGGTTCGGTTACTTGCACATAAACCGTCTTTTGATGAATATGATGTTACACATTGTCTATCTTTATTGACTCTTTCTTCCATACACACTAAGTATTATATTGACAGCTAAAGAATATAAACGTAAGAGAAACAGGAGAGGAAATATTATAATAATAATACAAAATAGATAAACATTGACAGGGCTAAGAACAATTACGATCAAAGATTTTCAAAACCAGAGAGATTTTATGAGAATGTCACACAAAACAGTTTACTTGGAAATGTTAAACAGAGTTCAGGTATGATTTAAGGTTGGTTATGGATGGGGCGTGTAATTTAAAATAATTTAACATAACGTGCAAATGCATTAAAGGGACGTCTTCAGTTATTATTTAAACGCAGCTATGTCAGGTATGGGATAGGTTATATAATTTCATTATTTAAATTATGATTGTTAATATTAATATTTTATGACATGTATTTGGGCTATTGCGCTTAAATAAGTCATCCGTGATTCTAAATTATTATTTCTATTCATCCTTTTTAGCTATCACTTTGCTATCGTCTTTCTCTTCTTTTTGTCTATTTTTTATGGTTCTGCCACTGTTACGTTTGCAAAATGTCTTTAGTTTGTCCAGATTATTGCTTTTCCTCTAAAATAGAGACGAAGCAGAAGGAAAATGAATGAATTGATGAATGAATGAAATGATTGACGTTTTTATGCATGTGCTGTGTGGCTTGCGCACGACAAAGACGAACGAGTGGCCGCGAGCTCCGGTGGCCGGTCAGAGCCAGCGCCGCATATCAAACTGGTTAAGAAATGCTGGATGGCTGCCAATATATGATAGGAATTCTTCCGAAGTTTCAGATGATATCTGGGCTTGTGCATAATAATGTAAAATAAAAGTGAAAGTCATGACATTTGGCCAAGCATAAGAATAGCCTACAAGAGTGTTTCGATTATTATCATGACATGTCATGCTTGGGCTTATATGAATAACACCTCGCTGTTTACCATTTCCGAAAGTGGAGCTGACGTCGGCGCGAAATTGCTTGTATAATTGTAAAAAGAGTGATGAATATTAATGGATTTCTTATATCTGTCATTTCTGATAATATAATTGATTTAACTAGTGTGAGAGTATCCAACACTCATTTAGCAAAAATGCATCCAGAATCCTAAACCAATAACTTTGTCAAGCAAAAATTATGATTTTATAGGCTACTGATTTAAAAAAAAAAAAAACAAGAAAAAAGAAACTATTAGCTACCCTAGCAATTGTTTATTTAAATATGATCATCTCAAAATATAAAATAAAAACATAATGGGTTGACTTTGTGAAATCATAAAACAGACTTGCAGAAAAGAGTTAATAAGAATAAATGAGCAAATACATTCTCTCCAGTAGATGGCGATTAAAGCTCAGTTATACCCCATGATGATGAACAGAGCTGCTTTGCAGGAACCCCTCAACCACGCATGTCAAACCACTCTAAACATAATCTTATGAAACTAGCTCAAGTGACAACTATATTAAATTTAAACCAGTTTAAATAAGTTTATATGTTTAATAACTGCAAAAAAGATCAACATTGCTAATCATAAAATACAAACGGTTGCTGAAAAGTTATAAATAATGGTTTTCTCATTTAATACTGAAAACAAATTAAAGTCAGTTATAACTGCCTATTATCAAACCACAGGCGACTCATTTTATTACTTATAATTGGCTGCGACATTGCCACTTTTGCGTTAATACCTTTTTCTCGCCTATAGGCTACATAACAATAAAACAATAATCTGGACAAACTAACACATTTTGCAATCGTTTAACCATGGCAGAACCCCAAAAATTTGAAAAAAGAAGAGAAAGACAGGCAGAGTGATAAAAAGGATAAATAGAAATATTAATTTAGAATCACGGATGACTTATTTAAGCGCAATAGCCCAATTAAATGTCATACAATAATAATATT